TTCCAAGTACACATACTGATACACACCCTTTTGTGTAAATAAATTTTCAAGATCACGTATATATAATTTTTTTAATTCTTTAATTCAAAGTGAGAATCATTTTTTTGATGATTTTAGCCTTACTACAATTCAATTATTTCAATAAAACATTACTTTTTATTTTTATTTTTAATATGTATTTAACATTCAATTATACATTTCACTATTTAATGCACATATAATAATTATGATTTATTTCTTGTGCTTGCATTTCTTTCATATTTAGATTAAAAGGGTGCAAACTAAGCCCTCATTTTTTCAAAACTCATTAAAAAAAAAAAATTGTTTTCAGCCACATCTTCACACAATAAAATATTCTACAAGTAAACCATTTTTTTTTTCATATTTTTTAATTGCACATTCTCCAAGAAAATTACTATTTCAAAATCTATTATGCCAAAAAACGGGGCTCAAACAAGAGCTAAATCTTCAAGTTCATGTACACTTTATATATTTGGGAGCTATTCAATTACTTTAGGAGTAAATAAATTATTCACGCTCATGTATATTTATTTATTTTCAAGATTATTCATTTAATCCATGATATAAAATTGTTCTCCAGGTTCACGTACATACCCTTTTGTCTAAATTAATTTTCAAGCTCACGCGTATTATTTTTCTATACCATTAATTCAAATTAGTAAATTTCATGTTCATGAATAAATTTGATGTTCTCATGAGTGTTAGAGTAAATGAATTAGTCTCTCAAGCATTTAAATTATTATTACAAATTGGTTATTATTTCATTTCAATTCTAATATGTTAAATACCGCATCAAGTGATAATTATTTTTTGGACGATTCTAACTCTACCACAATTAAATTATTTCAACAATACCTCACTTTTCGTTTCTTAATATGTATTTAACACTCAATTATGCATTTCACTATTTACGTACATGTATAATAATTAACACTTATTTTTAGGAACTTACATTTCTCTCATATTTGGATCAAATTGTGCAAATTAATTCTTCAAGTTCATGCACAGTTTATATGTTTTGGGGGATATGCAATTACTTTAGGAGTAAATAAATTATTCAAGTTCGTGTACACTTATTTTTTTCAAGATTATTCATTTAATCTATGGTATAGATTTATTATCCAGGTTAAAGTACACACCCTTTTGTCTAAATTAATTTTCAAGATCACGTGTATAATAATAATTATTTTTCTATATCCATTAATTCAAATTAATTAAATTTCGTGTTCATGAATATGTTTGTTTGTTTTTATTAGTGTTAGATGTAAATGAATTAATCACTAAACTATTTAAATTATTAGCACAAATTGATTATTTTTTCAGTTCAATCATCAAATATTTTGGTCTCCCGCATCATAAAATCAAAGTTATAAGAGACTCATCGACGTATGGAAAATGAATAGTCCATTAAAGTGACAGTTGTTCGAAATGATTTAGTTGAATTTTATTCCAAAATGCTGAAAATTTGGATATTTTAAGGCTCATTGTAATTGACTAGGAGGTAATACGTCCATTACGATGATTATTTATTTTGTAATTATATTATCATATTATCCATAAAACGTCCTTAAGCTTAATTTTAATATTCAATTATTAATATAATTTTTTTCCTCCGTTCATCATCTTCGAACTTGTGGTAAAACAATTCATGATTTTTATTTTTATTTTGTATAAATGCATGCAGATACCAAATCTCAATTAAAATGCCCAAAGTCATATGCCTTGAGGTATATGCTTCCGTAAGTCATGGCTTTAACCTTGACAAATGAAATTGAAAATGTAAGATTTGAGGTGCTTAATGATGGCATTTACGTGAAACAGACCTTAAGGCATAAGCTTAAAGCACTTTGTAGAACAATGGGTAATTCTTGTTGTTTCCTTCTCGTGTTTTATCCTCTGATGCTTGTGTGAAGATTAATACTCAGTAACAGTCATTCCATGATGCACAAACTGTAAACATGTAATAAAACAAGTACTTCCCACTGAAATATAGAACTGAAGTGTGCGTTGTCCATGGTTTCATAAAACAATTTATGAAATTTTTTCCTATTCATTTCCGTTTTGCAATGACAATCAACGAGGTTCAAAGACGGACAAAACCTCACATCGAAATATATCTTCCACAACATGTATTATTGCACGATAGTCATGCGTTGCACTTTCAAGAGTAATTTCTATAGTAACTACAAATGTTCATCTTCAAATATTACTTTATAACACTTATAAAATATTTCAAAATAACGTTCAAAGCACGTTCACGTGTAACTAGCATCACTAGAAAAAATTGATTAAAACTCGGTAGAAGTCCATTCTTATGAGCTATGTAAAGCCCAATTAAAGTGAGAACCTTCTTGATGTAGTTCCGAATGAGGAAATGGTGGCCAAAGGGCGGTTCACCCAACCCAATTTCCATAATAGCTTTTGACCAGATTTTATTTTAAAAACTAACAAAATCTCTCAAATACCCTTCATTTCAAAAGAAGAAGAAAAAAAGAATGAAAAAAATTCAAAAAGTCTTACCGACGAAATCGACTTCAAAACTATTCACGATCATCATCAACACATTTAATCAATTATCAATGTTAGCATTTGTTTTTATTTTTTAAATTTTATGATTTTGTTAATTGGTAAATATTCTTTTATTTTTACATTCAATTTTGATAAAATCTATGCATTTATGCTTTTAATGCATGACTCGAGTAGACATATTGTTGAGTTATGCCTTTTAGCACCATCAGTGTTAAACACTGATCTATTTGATATTAACGTGACATTAAATGAGATGTACAATTAAATGACTCAATTACACATTTTATTGAGCTTATCATACTACACCATCTAAACTAGTGTTGTAACACTACTAATGTCAGATAACATTATTTTATATTGTTAGATACGAGGTTGAGGATGATTTTGGTGAATTTTTGGGGTTGGAGAGCTCCGTCGCGCGCATGGTCGTCTAGTTTTTGTGTTTGGCCTAGATTGCCTAGTTGCTCGGGCGCAGACTATGGTTCGAACGTCATATCTTTTTAATTGTATCTTTGTCCTTTACATTTTGAAAATGTGGTGAATAAAGAATAAGTTCGACTTATGTGGTGAATGATAATACGCTCGTTTTAAGGGTACCTTCATCACGAATAAAGAATACAATCTTGCTACATCTTAATTTACACCGTTACTAATTGAATTTACATTTACGTAATCTCACGCCACCTTTCATATCTCGTATATTTAATTCAGAAGTTTTCTACTTGTACATAATTTTTTTTTGCCAGAAATCATACAGATACTTACATGGGGTGGGCCCCATGTGAGTTGTGTATTCTTTATAGTTTCCCTTTTTTTTTCTTTTGTACATATAAAAGTGTTCATTTCACAATCTCGTCGTATCACCAATCTGTCGAAAAAAATGTCAAAGTACGCGTACAAATAGCTTAATTGTAAAGAATAAAGAGTTTTGTTATTCGTACCGAAAATGGCTGACATACAGGTTGATCGACACTCACAATGGGAGGGGCCCACTTTTTTTTTTTTTTGGAGTTTTTTAATCACGTCTGGCCTGCAGCATGTGAAAAGTTGTCAAATTCATTGTCGTCCATTTTCGGTACAAGTAGAAAAGCCCAAGAATAAGATAGTGTTTGATGGATATTAAAATTAGATTTTTATTAATGAAAGATTTTGATAAAAATTTTTGAAATGTGTGATTGAAAAGATACGGGACTACGAAAGACGTGATTGATATTAATTCATGACTTTTAGTTTATGTTCAGGAAAAAACGAGGCCTAAATTAGATGAATGATAACCGCCGCCGGTTCAGAACCCGCATTCATGCCTTGTAAGATTTATTGATGGAGTAACGGAGGGGACGAGCTGCTTAGGGCTTCCCTTGGCATCGATTCATCTCGTGCTGCAGTGATTTCTACAAGGATCTACCTCGTGTCGCAGTGAGTTCTACTCAACTCCTTCATCACCAGACTCGAAGGTAGTATCAGATTTCTTTGTGTAAAAACGGGCTTTATATATTGATTTCGGTCTCGATTTGATTGATCAGAACGATTTAATTTCAGCACAACATCGATGTAAAATTCGTCCAGCCCTTTTAGAATGTAGTTTTCAGGCCAGAATTGTTCTTTCTTGATAGTAATCTTCCTTAAGCAGCGTTTTTTTTTTTGTTTTGTTTTTGTAATGGTTTTTCCCCTGCCCGTCCCTTAAGTGTAATCGGTGAAATATACCCAGGACCAAAATCCAGTGGGGGCAACTTCTCCCACTAAACCCCAGGTGGCTCCGCCTCCGCCCCATGGGTATAAAGCTCTGTTGGGGAATGAGTATCCAATTTCCAATCTAGAGAGTCAGACAAAGAGGTGGAGAATTGGTTGGGTAGATACTCCAAGTCAATCTCACATTCTAGATAAGATGATCCTTTTATTTTCTCAATAACGGATTTTGTTAATCTTTTTCTGTTGGACTGATTAATGGCCCTCACTGATATTGGATGATTAATTGATTAATTTTTTTTTTAGTTATTGATATTTGACAATTGAGTTGGGTCATTCACTTAATTAGGTTTAGTTAAGTGTAAATTTATTTTCCACTCAATTAAGTCTGATTAATTTCTCTAAACAAAACCTTGATTTTTTCTGTTTGATTAACGTAGTAGTTCTTTCCTGTTGGATTGATTAATGGCCTTCATGATAATTTATTTTGATGTGATCGCCTTTGTTGCCAAAATTGTATTCTAATTTGATTCAAGATCTTGGTGTTGATCGGCCAACCTAACATGTATATTCTTAGTTTTGTAAGTATAATGTTTTTTTTTTTAAGTCAATTTTATTCATTTGTTCTTGTATCTATTTTTGGAAGCAATTTTGTAAGTTCTAATTTTGTCGGTTTTTAAAGCATTTGAAAATCAGGGTTCAGAGGTCGGGCTTTGCGGAGATTTGAGACCTCATTTATCAGTCGATATCACTAAAATACTCCAATGGGAAGAAAGAAGTCAAGCACCCGTGACGATGACGGTGCCACCACAACTCAGGGCGGCGGAGGAAAGTCAAAGAAGAAAACTTTGGTGATTGATGACGATGAATATTTTATGGAAGAGCCTGTTGCTGTTCTGGAAGAGGAAGTAGCAGCACCAGTGGTTAATAGAAAGGGTAAAAAGGGAAATTTAAAGAAAATAGAAACCAAGGATGATGACGATGAGGTTGAGGAGACAAAGGATGAAGATGATGACAACGAGACTCCGACTTTAAAGTTTGCAGGTAAAAAGAAAGGAAAGGCCAAGAAAGGAGGAACTAATAATGCATTTAGTGCTTCAAGTTTTGGCTTACTTGGAGAAGGAGAGGATGAGGATAATGAAGATTTAGGTTTGACAAAGGAGAGTGAAGAAGAAGGGGACAGTGTCATGGCTTTCACTGGGAAAAAAAAGCCTTCAAAACCAAAAAAGGGTAGTGGTGTCAGTGGAAGCATGTTTAGCCAATCTGTGTTTGGCTCAGTTGTTGATAAAGAGGATGAAGGTGGGGAAGCTGATGATAATGAGGATGAGCCAGTGATCTCATTTTCCGGGAAGAAGAAACCTGCAAAAAGTAAGAAGAATGATGTCTCCGCTGCTAGTTTCGATGAGTTGGAGAGATTTGAAGAGGAGGATAAGGATGCTATGACAATTACTTTTGCTGGTTAGAAGAAGTCGACCAAGGGTTTGAAAAAGAGTGTGGGAAATAGTAAATGGAATTCTGGTTGCCTCTGTTTGCAGAGGAGGATAAGGATGCTATGACAATTACTTTTGCTGGTAAGAAGAAGTCGTCCAAGGGTTTGAAAAAGAGTGTGGGAAATTCATTTGGGGCAGCTTTGCTTGATGATCAAATTGACAAGGATACTTCTGTTTCAAAGTCGGATGATAATTTGGTAGAAGGTGATACTGTTGATGAGGAGGAAGATGTCTCTGTGATTAAATTTTCTGGTAAGAAGAAGTCATCTAAGAAGAAGAATAACAGTACATATACAGCGTTGGAAACTGGGGTAGGAGATGAGTTTTCAGAAATCATAGAACCTGATCAGCGCAGTGTGAGCATCAGTAGCAAAGAAGCAGAGGACTCAAATGGTAAGCAGCAGATAATTGAAGTTGCGACAGAAACTTCAAAGAATAAAAAGAAGAAAAAGAAGGGTGGAAGAACTGCTCAAGAAGAGGAAGACCTTGACAAGATTCTGGCAGAGCTTGGTGAAATACCCCCCGTGTCTAACCCTTCTCCCAATCCGCCTGTGGTGTCGTCTGGTGAAAAGGAAGCCGATGAGGAAGGGCCTGTAGAGTCTGCAGCTGCTAAAAAGAAGAAAAAGAAGAAGGGAGGAAAGCTATTTTTGATGATCCATATGAAGAAGATGATGATGATAGTAACTTTATTGTGGGAGATATCATCCCCATGCAAAAATATAAAATGATTGAATTTTGGAGGAGCCAAGTAATGTTCTTGTGGAGTATCGTTTCATCGTTAAATTTGATGAACCAACAATTAAAGAAGAAGAACAGGTAGAAATCAAGGAATTACTCATGAAAGAGCCAAACGAATTAGTGGCATTCAAAGAAAATGCAAAACTTTACCTTCATTGACTTTGAGATTAAAGCTGATGACAAAACAGAAGTATTTTTAGTTGAATTTGAATTGGGTAATTTGGGCAAGTTGTACCATATTGAAGAGGGCAAAACAATATCTTAGAAGACGTGTGAAGTGTGGTGCAAAGACGATCTAATCAAATTAAACAAGACCTCCAATGCTATGTTCAAAGTGCTATGAAACACTTTTACAAAAGTCGAACTCGAGACTATAAATCAAGAAGTAATGTTATCTATTAACACTGATGATAGTCATCGTGTTTAAACGATCAAAATTATATTTGACAATAATTGTGAAAACTAACATGAACTCGATAAGATTTTGCAACTTGATTAGGTTTGATTGTGACTTGATGCTAANAGGTTTGATTGTGACTTGAGGCTAATTAATTTATGTCACAAATTATGTATAAGGACAAAAATAAGGACTTGTCAATTTTAATTTAGGTTGCGTTTTTTATAATTGGAAAAAAATATTTCAAAATTCACCAACTTCAAAATTTATATGTTATTTAATATTATATTAACATTAAACAATTAAAATTTATTGAATAATCAGTTTTTTTGAATAAAATATTCTTAAAAAAATTCTCAAAATTTCAAAGTAAACGCGTTTTCCATTTTTATGTTTTCGGAAACAGTTTTTCAGAATGGGAAAGAGAACGCATTTTCAGAAATTTCAAAACAGACACTCAAAACACAAAACACAAAACGAATTCAAAACTCAAAACACAAAACTGAAACACAAAGAGAACGGCACCTAAGTTTTTTCAAGAGAAGGATATTATGGAAAGGGCCTGTAGAGTCTGCAGCTGCGAAAAAGAAGAAAAAGAAGAAGGAAAAAGAAAAAGAGAAAAAGGCAGCTGCCTCTGTGGCAGATGCCGCTGCAGTGGAAGAAAAGAAGGATGAAACAAAGGGTAAAGCACTTGATAAGAAAGTTCCAAAGCACGTAAGGGAGATGCAAGAGAGACTTGCAAAACAGAAGGAAGCTCTAGAGAGAAAGAAGAGGGAAGAAGAAGAGAAATTGAGGAAGGAAGAGGAGGAACGCCGTCAACAGGAAGAGCTGGAAAGGTTAGCTGAAGAGAAAAGGCGCTTAAAGAAAGAAAGGGAAAAGGAGAAACTTTTGAAGAAAAAACAAGAGGGGAAACTATTAACTGGGAAGCAAAAGGAAGAAGCTCGTAGGTTGGAGGCAATGAGGAAGCAAATTCTTGCTAATGCAAGTTTGCAGTTACCTGCTGGCGACACTGCTGGTGCACAAGCTAAGCGGCCATTGTATCAGAAGAAAAAGTCAAAGCCACAAGCTCAGGGAAATGGAACAATCCCTGGAGAGGGTGTTGAATTTTTAGAAACAAAAGAAATCCATCGGGAAAATCTAGGTAAAGAACTTGTGGAAGAAACTGAGAAGGTTGAGGAAGTGGAATCTGAATTAGCTGAGAAGTTTGAGGAATTGAATTTAATGAATATGGAGGAGAAAGGTGAAGTTACTTATGTTGTAATGAATGGAGTTGATGAAGACGACGACGACGAAGCATGGGATGATAAGAGTTGGGATGATGCCGATCTTAAGTTGCCAGGTGAAAATACATTTGCTGATGAAGAGTTTGACTCAGAGCCTGAACTTCTGGGTATGAAAGAGATAAAAAGTTCGCGACCTGCGACTAATGATGCTGGGCTGCCTCCTGCAGCAGCCAAGCCAGTGTATAGAACGCAAAAAGCCACCTCAGTTCTGCCACATAAATCTCAGAATGTGGAAAATAAGAAAGATGATCCTGAAACTGAGGGTATAGACAAGAACAAAAGAGGAGTTATTAAGAAGGAAACAAAATCAGATGTCCCAAGCCTGAGTGAAAAAAGTCTTCGGTCGCCTATATGCTGCATAATGGGGCATGTCGACACTGGTAAAACAAAGCTGCTTGATTGTATAAGAGGTACTAATGTCCAAGAAGGTGAGGCTGGCGGTATTACCCAGCAAATTGGAGCAACATATTTTCCTGCTGAGAATATTCGAGAGAGAACAAAGGAATTGAAAGCTGATGCGAAGCTGAATGTTCCAGGACTATTAGTAATTGATACTCCAGGACATGAGTCCTTTACTAATCTGCGTTCTCGGGGTTCAGGATTATGTGATATTGCAATTTTGGTTGTTGACATAATGCATGGTTTGGAACCACAGACTATTGAGTCACTGAATCTTCTGAAGATGAGAAATACAGAATTTATAGTGGCCTTGAATAAAGTGAGACACATCATAAATTGCTTTGATTTCTTTTTTTTCTATTAGCCTATGTTACATATTGTCTTCTTTTTTATTTTTTACCTTGCAAGGTTGATAGACTGTATGGGTGGAAAACTTGTCGCAATGCGCCAATTGTTAAGGCAATGAAGCAACAGTCGAAAGATGTACAAATCGAATTCAATATGAGGCTTACTCAGGTCTTGTATATTGCTTCCCTATATGCAAGGATGCATGTATGTTAGTGTGCATAATAAATTTTGGTTGATTTAGGTTAGTGTGCATAATAAATTTTGTTTATTTTAGATTTCACTTTTTTTATTGGGAAAGGGAGGGGTGTTAATTCGGGCATATCTGTCTCTTTAATTTTTGCCATTTGATTGGACCGTATTATGTTGACACGATTTGAATGTTATAGGTTGTAACGCAGTTCAAGGAGCAAGGGATAAACACTGAGTTGTATTATAAAAATAAAGAAATGGGGGAGACATTCAGTATTGTTCCGACGAGTGCGATTAGGTTTGATTTTTTACTTCAGTTTGTTAACATTGTTAAGTGCTTTCCAGTTACTAGTTTTGAGTTTATGGTAATATATAATAACTATACTCCATTTCATAGCATCCTGACTCTAGTGTTTACATCTGTGCCAGTGGTGAAGGCATCCCTGACATGTTACTACTGCTAGTGCAATGGGCTCAAAAAACTATGGTCGAGAAACTTACTTACAGTAATGAAGTGCAGGTTTTTCTTCTTTTCATTTTTTGTCCATTATTGAGAGAAATGAAGTGTGTGTGAATACTGACAATGGGTCGTAACTCGATGGCAGTGTACTGTTTTGGAGGTTAAGGTTATTGAAGGTCATGGAACAACCATTGATGTGGTGTTAGTCAATGGCGTGCTTCATGAAGGAGATCAAATAGTTGTTTGTGGGATGCAGGCAAGTATCTGATGATTATGGTCTCTAAATTAAACTCGATGCTATTATCCAAATCTTACACTAGATTATGCTTCTTAGGGACCAATTGTTACAACAATTCGAGCATTATTAACCCCCCATCCAATGAAGGAGCTCAGAGTCAAGGTAAAGACTGCTATGGGTGTTGTTACTCAGTTTTTAAGCTAAGTCATTTCACTTTCCTTTTTTCTCTACCTTAAATTATTCATGACAACTTAAGAGGATGTGGAGCTAGGATAATGTGTAATTGGTATTTATGCATAGATGCACTTTTTAAGGGCTACATTTTGATAGTTAAATTATTGTTGTTTGTTGTGTCCGTGTAAATTGGAATTGAAAGTCCTTCGATGTTCTTTGCTACTGGATCTGCAAGAAAATGCCCTTTGAAAAACCATTATCACGTTTGAAATCTGTGTAAGAGCCTAACAGAACACACAAGCTCTGCTAAATTGGGCGTGCCTCTGCGAGGGTGCTTTCAGGTGTATGCCTAAAGAAACTAACAAAGCCATAAAAGATTATACTCATAAATAACTGTAGACCATCTAAAAAATAACGTAATAGAACATTCAACAAAATTAGAAGTCTACTATGTAACTAGAAACATAAAATGGATCGAGAAAGTAGCAAAGAATAGATAAGCACAGTAGTAGTCACGTAACAAGTCCACTAATCCATGACTAGAACTACAGTCTAAAACAAATGAAATAATTGACCATTTATGAAATTTTCTTACTTTCACTTAAAAAGAAAAGAAAATGCTCATGAAAACAAAAAGGCCGAGACACCAGCGAGAAAAATATGAAAGAAAGACAAGAACAGTGAAGTTACTTATCGGTCTGGTAACTTCACAGTCGCCTAGCACTTGTCATTTGCTGTTGAGAAGTTGCAATTTCACTTGGGTGGGGGTCACACCACAATTGCAAGAATAGAGGGCTAGAGCATGCATGGGCTCTTCTCTCGTTCGTCAATTTTATTCATTTTAGCTTTGGGCTGTATATTTTTCGAACTCTCAAACAACCTTCTAATGTTATGGGCCATAGAAAACAAGCCCAAAAAGTGAAGATTAGTAATAAGAACCTGAGAAATAGAAAGACTAAAGAGTACAATGCATGGCTCGGCTGTATTTTAGCAAGCACGATAGTAAGACGTAAGCCTTGAGCAAGGGCACTTGTTCTGTAAGATTTGTAACTCCTAACTGAAGCACTAATATTATTGGATTTTTATTCCAATAGCTATTACTTTTAGATTATCATACTTAACATCTTGTTTCAGGGGGAAGTTATAAAACAAAAATGTTGCAGATTTTTATCGTGATTCTTAACAAATTATTGCCAAAATAAAATGAAGTATAAAGAGTTCAAATGTAGCAAAGTGTTGGCATTGTTTTTTCTCCTTCTTGGCCTTTATGTATAACAAGCATTGAGCTTTTAAACCTTTGTTTGTTGGATTACATGTTTGTTGCTACCCTAAAATATGCATTGGGAGTGCCGAGTCCAAGGGGGGTTTCCTTGTGCCCTCCCTTTTTGCAGGTAATGCCCAAGAAGTTGGAGCTCGATCATTTATCTCGGTGATGCACATTTTCGAGCGACCAATATTTTTTATTGTTTTCTCCTTTTTAGCAAATGAAATTTCATATAACCTGTCAAAGGTGAACGGCATAAGGTTAATAATTCCATATTTCCATGTATTTTATATGGTTCAGACACTTAGTGTCTATGATAGAATGACGTAGGCAAAAACTTCTATGTAATTTCTTTGAGGAATGTTTTTCTTAACCATCCTAGAGATCTCACGAAGAAATTAGTGGAAAACCTCTTGTTGTGCTTCGTGTTATTTTTGTTCTATGCATATTTTTCTCTACATTAATTCACCTGTTAATAAAAACATAGCATAGATTTAATAATTACGAGTGTCTAGATCCTTAGACACGGTACATTTAGCAAGTTCAATATGCTCTATCTCTATCATGTAATTTGTATAAAAACGTAGTTGTCTTCAAATCTATTCCTCTTTTAAGCACTAGGTGCACATTGATTATTGGGTTCAGTTTCTATAACTAATGCTCAATTGGTTGTTTAATTTCAGGGAACTTATCTGCATCACAAAGAAATCAAGGCTGCCCAGGGTATCAAGATTACTGGTCAGGTAATTTTATTATTCCAAGGAAGTGTAATTACATTACCTGCATTCTTTTGCAGTTGTTCCGTCGTTTCAATAAGATGTCAATAGAAAATGTAGTTCAAACGAGTGACCTCGAGTGAAATATGACTGTTACAAAGAGTTTTTAGTGCAGATTTAATATAGATATACTAAAGAAGCATGGAATGGTATATAGATGGAATAGCACCGGGACTCCTTAATGTGGATTGCGTAGGGGTGGAGAGGACATGAATTATATGTGCTACTTCTTATTGCATCATAATGGAATAAAGCAAACCAATAAGTAATCCTAAAATCTACAAGTGAAGTTTGTCAACCCCTACTTCTGCTTTGACATAAGGTTACTTGATTTACAAAAAATAGTTGGACTAAGTGGTTATGCACATTACATTACCTTTTGTAACTTCCTAAGTCAAGCCATTTTCCCTCTACAAGCCACCTTACACATGGCAAACAGACTAACTTATATCTGTTTTCTGTCAATTTCTTGTTTTCTTATCTTAATAATTGTTTGTTCTCTAATTTTAGAAAGGAGATTTATGCTTATTAATTTATTTTGTATCATGTCTTGGTGTTAAAAACTGGGGAGGTTTTACCTTTCCTTCCAGAAATGTGAAGAAGTGCACGGGAACCTACTTTCAATAGTCAAATCAATTATTTTTTGGAATAGTAAAAAAAAAAAAAAAAGATAACTATTTGAGTTTAGAAATTTGATTCTTTCATGACAGCTAATTTTTCATTTTGACATAATGCTCGATCTCTCGCTTCAAAAACCTGGATCTTCAAGTGCAAGCCTTTGCCCCATTTACTATTTCTAGTTGTACATTGCTGAGAACTCTAGAAGATATTCTCCCGTTAAAAGTTATTTTGTTTTCGTTGTATTCTTTAAGGGCCTTGATCATGCCATTGCTGGAACTGCACTTTATGTTGTGGGGCCTGATGATGATTTGGAAGACATCAAGGAAGCAGCCATGGACGACATGAGGTCAGTGATGAGCCGGATTGATAAAAGCGGTGAAGGAGTTTATGTTCAAGCATCCACCCTTGGTTCTCTGGAGGCTTTGCTGGAGTTCTTGAAGACCCCAGAAGTAAAGATACCTGTTAGTGGTATAGGCATAGGCCCCGTACATAAGAGGGATGTCATGAAGTCAAGCGTCATGCTAGAGAAGAAGAAAGAGTATGCAACAATTTTGGCTTTTGATGTTAAAGTCACACCAGAGGCTCGGGAACTTGCAGATGAACTTGGTGTCAAAATATTTATTGCTGATATTATATATCACTTATTTGATCAGTTCAAGGCCTATATTGATAACCTCAAGGAGGAAAAGAAACGAGAAACCGCTGAAGATGCAGTATTTCCTTGTGTTCTTAAGATTGTGCCAAATTGCATCTATAACAAGAAAGATCCCATTATTTTGGGAGTTGATGTTCTTGAAGGAATTATCAAGGTAGTATTATTGATGGGTTACGTATAGTTCTTTGCAATCTTTAGTTTCGGTTATCCATGAAGTATCTTATATAGGACTTGATTTTAGTAAATTTTAATTCAAGGGAAAATAAGTACATTATTAATAAGAAAGTAGATCCTTTCTTTTGATTTGTGCTCTCATGATTTGCTAACTTTTGAATCTTGCATATGTTGGGATGGGTTCATAGTTGTTTGATTACATTTTGGTTCTCTCATGATTTGCTACCCTCTCTCTAGATATATTTAGATGTATGATTGAATAGATCTGATGTCCTAAGTTATGCAGTGTGCTTCTAGTCATCATTATATATGTTCATGAGATGATGAGAAGAGAAGTGCTTCCAAATTAAGTGGGTTCTTAGTATATATATTTGATAATTCTCTTAGTTTATAGTTAGCACACAAATGATCATTCATCTCCTTTCTTCTTCTTGTTGCCCATGCATTCTCTCATTGTCTGACCATATGGAAGTGTTCCATGCTTTCACTTCTAAGGGTTTCTTCACTTTGCTTTAATTGCATTGTTCTATGTTCCCATGGGTCTTTGTCCGCTTGATTGACTTGTATCTTTTATTTGGCTCATCATTCTACTTTCAAAACTTAAACAGGTTGGAACTCCAATATGTGTTCCCCAAAAGGATTTCATTGATATTGGGCGGATCGCTTCTGTGGAGAACAACCATAAGCCTCTGGACTATGCCAAGAAAGGACAAAATGTCGCTATTAAGGTATGATGCTGTTTTCCTATGCCTTGATCTTTGGTGCTTTTGTATAGCTTTTGATTGTTAGATGCTGAAGTACTGTAAGGGACTTTTGAAATGTATCTGGGGGAGCACAAGTTTGGGAAGCACTATAAAATTTGGTAAAGCAAAAGGTTGCTGAGGCGGATTAACAAGATGATAGCCAATTATATTGTACCTTCAATCCAAGCTAGAGAACCACGTATCTTCCAAAGACGTGAATATTCAATTTTTTTTTTGATACCCTGTACATACTTTTTAAGCCTCCTAAGACCAAAATGGCCAAAATTTGGAGCAGAATACATAAACTGAAGTCTGCGAAAACATGAGAATTGATACAGAAACAAATAAATCCTTTTGGAAGCTTTGAGAAAACAGAAGGAAAACTAATTGGAAACTATGAGAGAAGTAAATTAAGGCACAAGCCTCACAAATGTGCCTCGTGTAAGCTTTGAGGTGTTCTATGAGAGCCTCACATGAGCTGGGTTTCGAGGTGTAAGCCTTAAATATGTTTTTCTAAACAATGGTAGTGAGGACTCCCGTTGCATATTATCTGCTAATAATGGATTACCTGTTTATCTTGGGAGACATCAATGCAAACTTGATTTAGGATGAGATTTTGGAATGTCTTTTTATTGTGGATCTGGCCCTAGCATCTCAAATTTTGACATCAAAATTGTAACACGTTTATATGGCATAGTATTGTTACAAGTGATGTATCCTACATTTACACCGACGATTGAGGATTGTGAAACATGAGTCTAGGGTTAAAGGATTTAAGGATTAATCATCTATCATAGAATATCGACACTAACAGTTGCCAATTATGAAGCATGAGGTTGATTCCTTGATTGCAGTCGTTGATAGATATAGGCGTAGTTGTGTCCTCTTCTATTAGGATATCATCTTTACTCTTTATGTTCTCATTATCCTGTCTTTTCTTTTCGGAAGTAGACCGACGAGATAAAGTCATGACTTGGGTTCATACTTGTATCATGTTTTGATGTGCTAATAGTTTCTCTTTGTGCGTATGGCTTACCAAAAGGTTAAGCCATGTAATTGGCACCTTTTAGTCAACACCCAGGATCGAACACTGATCTTGCCTAGTATGTATACGTCTTTTAAATGTGGTTCTGTAACAACCTTTTAAGATTCAAGAAGCAAACTTTATGGAGATACGGTATTTAAAAGGTGTAATCGGCAATTTGAGCTTGAACCCCAATTCTTTTAGTCCATCTCTATCTGAACCTCAACTTTTTTGTGCATCCTCAGATAGTTAGCAGTAGTTCTGATGAACAGCAGAAGATGTTTGGCAGGCATTTTGAGCTTGAAGACGAGCTTGTCAGCCGAATTTCTAGGACATCAATTGATGTCCTTAAAGCTAATTATCGGGTATGGAAAAAATTCGACTTGGGTCTTTCTTTGTATGCAAGGAGAATACGCTCATTTTTCGCTCTAGGTCCATTTTAATTTTAAGCATAGTTTTGCTGACTCGTGATTATCTACAGGATGACCTGTCCAATGAAGATTGGAGACTCCTGGTCAAATTAAAAAACCTTTTCAAGATTCAATAGTTTTGATGATAAAACAGCATTAAGAAGTTGCCTTGAGCCTAACTGACAGGGATGAAAGGACGAAGAGTCGAAGGGAGGAGAGCTTGACAGGAGAGAGCATAATAAGGCGAAAGTGATTCGTGAGATATGGCAGTGGCGAAACTTATTCCTGATTTACTTTTTGCGCTGGGTGGCCTCTTGCCATTGGGATTGGTTACAGTTGCCTCTCCTAGCCCACTATGGTTTTGTTGTATGTTTCTTCTGCTGCGAGATTGGCCAGGTATAGATAGAGGAAAATAATTATGAAGATGGGACGCTGTTCAACTGTTTTTGGAACATGTAAACGATAGCAAAATTTCTTGTACGATTTGATTTTAAACGAGGAAATAAAATTTTATTTATAATTCTGGCATTATGTTTTCGCTAAATGGACGTTGTCCATGCATGATGAGAAGAGAGTATGGCTACGGAGCTAATTGGCTGGCACAGAGAGTTACCGTTCAATTACTAAAAGAGCATTTGGGTCATCGTAAAGTTTTAATAACACATTTTATAAGATTCATAATTTTTCAACCGTATACTTCATTAATTTTTATGACTGTCTATAAAAAATCAATTATCGAGTCTCACTAGTATCACAAAAAATGAAAAAAGGGACTATAAAAGTTATAAAATAGGTATTATTGTAGTGGAGGTTTCAAACACTTCAGAACTGTGAAGATTATGTCCAAACCTTTAGATTGTCATTGTGGAGATTTCAAGCTTTTCAAAATTGTGCAGTAAAAGGACCTTAGGCATGTCAGTTTACCAAAAATAAACATTTGACTATAATTTGACAAATTTTAAAGGAAGGACAAAATGATATTTTTACTTTAATAAAAGCTTGTTTGGTAGGGATTTTTGGGGGAAGAATTGATTTTTGAATAGTGATATGATGGGAAATGTGTGGCTGAAAAAAAAGAAAAAATTATTGATGTGATGGAAAATATTATTTTATTGAAGAATGTGTGGTTGATATTGATGTGATGGAAAATATTATTTTATTGAAGAATGTGTGATTGAAAATAAAAATTGATTTACTGTAGAAAATGAGAATCCCTACCAAACAGGCCCTTAATTAAAAAATGGAAAATTTGCATAGAAAGTGCCAAACCTTTCAAAAATGAGCAACTAACCTTTAATGAATGTGCCTCCAAAGGATTTCTAACTATTTTCATCTAAAAATTTGTAAATTGGCCAAAATATTCATCTTCCTTGATCCACATTACCACCCAACTCCAACGCCTAACTCCTAACCCTACTCAACTCCACGTTGACTGATTGAACGTCAATGAAATTGCTGCAACTGTGGATTGGAGGGGAAGCCAGCCATTTCTTGATATTCTTATTGCTTTGTCCTAAAATGCATTCTGAAAAATGGATTTCAAATTGTGTGCGTCTCAATCGAATCCTTGCTCATTTTCTCTTATTCTGGCAGACTTTATTGTTATAATGCTATGGAGACGAAATGCAGCCAATTTTTTCATGGATGGATTATGCTTGTAGACTCTAGTAATTTCACCAAACGTGCATTTCCATGATTTTCAATTTCAAATAATTGGTTTTAATAATGAGTATTAGCCTTTTTTATTATTGCAATATTTGGCTGAATTCGATAAGAAACTATGCTTTGAAGAATCATGTCTTACGAATAAATACTACCATAAAAATTAACAAGTTTTTATTTAGTTGTCGATTAACAAATCAAGTCCTAGCTTCAACGAATTTGATTCCAGCAATTTCTCTCAATAATTTATAATGTAGAATTATTTTGTAAAGATTCCAACAAATTTTCCTAGGAAATGTTATCAAAAACTAAACGTTAATCGACAAGGTTGCGAAAGAAAGTGCATTATCGAATAAACAAACATTTGGCACAAAACGGATAAATTCTGCATTGTGCATTTGATCAAATATGCCATTGAAGTTGATAAAAGGGCCTCTATTGTCAACAAATTAATCCGTACATAATATCATCTTCCCTAATTATTTTAGATTCCAAATCCTGGCTTCCCTTAGATGGCCTTATAAGACATTAACAAGGTTGGGCAATCGCACAATCATGAAAAACAGGAAAACATCTATGCTTCGGTTCAATCCTATCCAATACCGTGCATCTAAATTCTGCCAAATGTTTGTTTATTAAATAACGGAATTTCTTATGCAACCTTGTCGAGTGGGACGTCAAATTTTGAGCCACATTATTTTGGAAAAATGTATTTTGAAATAGTAGATTGATGGAGAATGCGTGGTTGAAAAAGAACAAAAAAAAGTTATTAATGTAATAGAAAATATTATTTTATTGAAGAATGCGTGATTGAAAATAAGTAGAAGAATGGGAATGGAAATTCTAATGTGGCTCAAACGGGCATATAGTCTTTGATAACAATATTGAAGAAAATTTGTTGCAATCTTTAATGTAAAGGTAAAGCAATAGGGTTTCAGAAATGAAATGGAAATAAACATACACATACACAGATCATTCTTCTTCAATGGCAAAAAAACACTCGGGATTTCATTCAATATCTCATGCAGTAAACAAGAACAAACATGTAACAAGACCAAGATTCAAAATGTAATTTTCTGGCCTACTATTATTAATGACATAGTTACCCTGGTTGTTATGCCTTCGTTACTCTCCAATTAGTATCCTTTCAACATAGGAGATTTTCAAATATGCCATAATGGAAAAGGCCAAGTGAACAAAATGAGATCGAAATAAATTCCGGTCTCATATGAAGTTTCTGATATCTAAAGACTTCACATCCGGCATCTCTTCATCCTTGAACTCTTCCCTGTAAATATTTTTAGCAAATGAAATAAACTCTCTGGATACAAATGAGGCCGGGTAGAGAGATAGAGAGGGAGAGGAGAAGGATTCCACAGCAGAGATATAAAGACCCACTAAGATTGTAACAAAATAAAACCCTGTAGAATCCTGAATAGATTACCTCTTCTTCTGAGTATCCATTGCTTCAAAAGCATCCTTCTTCAGCTCCTCCAGCTGTGCTTTTGCAATTTTAAGTTCCAACTGCTCCTCATATTTGGGCAGATCTTCTCTACGAATTCCTAGCCTACATGACCGCGTGTGGAAAACACAGAGAATGTATAATCAGGTGACAGAGACCCAGTCACCCAGAATTAAACAACGCAATAGATTTATCATGGTGATCAGCCTCTGAAATTTGTTGACATGAACTGGCCTCATCTTATTCATTTAAGCGAGTCATCAAGTCCTATGTTTAATTTTTGTTTCAAATTGTTAACTAAACTTAAACATTTGTTACAATTTAGTCATTCTGTCCACATTAGTAAACTTAACTAGTGTAACAAAGTTTAAGTTCAGCCAAAAAAATGTAGTGACCACTAGTATTTAATGCTTTATAGTATTGATCGAAGATTTTGTAAGCTTGCCTCCTGGAACTTACTTTCGGTTGATCTTATCGAACTCTGCCATAAGAAGGGCCATTCCCTTTTTATCATTCCTTACAAGAGGCTTCTTCAGTTCTTTCTCAACTTTGTCCAATGCATCCATCATCATAGCCTCTGCACCCAGTTCATCAGTAAGGCCTCTCCTGGAGAAAGAAATATAGAAAATGAATACAAGTGGAGTAAAAACAGATGGAATGGGCAACAAAATCAATCCTTCGGTACAGAACATTATACCATATTGTTGTAATCTAGGAAATCAAGAATCGCATAATTTCTATATTTAAATATCTGTTTCTGCAAAATTATGATGTAGAGAAAATTCATCTAGAAACATAAAAGAAATACAAAACCTATATAACAAACAATTAAGGAGCACTCAGAGCGCAATGCAGCAGATATAGTGGAAGTACATACTTGATCCTTATCTCCTTCAGCGTCAGCAAATATGTTCGAGCATCTGGAATACCTTGTGTTCTTGTTTCAATAGTGTATTTGATCCTCTGCGACTCTGAAAAGAGATCAGCCCTGCAGGTACAATAAATTCAAATAATCAGCAAACAGGGCTGTATGATGAGGAATTTTCAATAATAGGGTGCTTATATATTTTTCATTTTTTTGGAAGGATCAAAGCATTCAATTTTTCAAAAATACAAGGCAATAGATTCATGAACTTATAAGAAACAAAAGATACAGTCTAAGGATGATTCCATGAATCCACTAGTACAAACAATGAAGAAAAATATAAAAACCTCAAGCAGCAAAATACTACAAGTCTAGAAGTCAAAAGTGAATAGAATAGAACTTATGGAAGTGCATCTATGACCAGCATAGTGATCAAACAATCACCCACTCTGAATATAATAATGATACAGCATAATAAGTTGATAATATATCTCAATGCTCCTATAGTTGTGTTACTTGTGAGAAAATGAGAGACCACAAACACATGCATGAAACAATGACCAAAACATACATACAACGGATAAATAGCTCATGCGATGCACTTTTCACTGAGACTATATACGGTGAGAACTTTTCTAAAATTTTAATTGCCCATTCTCTTTTCTTTGAAAGATATTTTTTAATTCATTAAATACAAATACACAAACAACAACCGAGATTGACAAGAAAATCTTACTTCTCTCTTACAGTCTTCATGACTTTGGCATATTCAGCCACTGCAGTGGGATTGTCAGGATCTATTGTGATCTTTTCTTTTCTGAGAATCCCAAGGGCTGTATCAAATTTCTTTTTAACCTCCAGAAAAATGCCCTTCAGCATCTCTTCAAATATATGTTCAACAGTCAGAAGCTCATAAATTTACAACAATATAAGTAGCACATAATCCGGTTGGCTAATGAAACGTCTGATATAGCGTGACCTTAAAATTTCTAATAGAAGACAAATATTAATACTATTCATCAACAGCTATAGACAAATTTCGAAAGAAATTGGGAATCCATTAGGTTATAACAAATAAGACGATGTTGATAATAAGATTAAGGCAACCCTACAATAGTAGAATTATTTGAAACAATATTTGTATTTTAAAAATAAGACTGTCCCTAGCCAGAAGCTCCTAACGCCGCATGAATAAAATCAAATGATGCAAAAGGTTTTACGATGAGATTCAACAGAACAAGTTCCAAGTCAGCACAAATCCCCAACAGCCTTCGCTCTGTCCAGCAGATACCTCAAGTAATAACATGAGTATTTATTCACCAATCATGTTTGGTAGGGTAGATTTGATAGGCACTATTAAAGGCACGTTTGACATGGCTTTTGCCTTTCCTTTTGTTTAGTGTAGAAGAGCTTTTAGGAAGCTACATTAATTTTTGTTTGAAAACTAATTTTTAAAAGCACTTCTTATTCCAAAAGTGCTTACAGGAAGCCACATTGAGAACCAGCTTCCTCTAAAAGCACTTCTAACTAGAAGTACTTTCATAAAATTAGTCAAACGTGTCCAAAAGCTGTTTTTGGGTCTTAAAAGTTCCTTTTGACTTTTTAAAAGTTATGCCAAACCGGCCCTAAAAAAGAAAAAGAAACCATAATCTTGGATATTGTACTTTCGAGTACCGCCTAATACTACAGAGGAAATGTGCATGCAATGTTATTACCCAATACCTTTTGCCTTCCCTTACACATGTAACACCACCAATTCCAAGGAAAAAAACTATCTCCTTCGTTCTTAAACTCATTTTAAGAAATACTAAAGTGTTTAACACATTCTCTATTCAATAGCTTTAAAACACATGTTCAAAGCTCCACAATAAACAGGACATGCAGTATCTCAAAATTTGACTATTCTCATTTTCTGGTTTCTTTCAGTTTCCTTTTTGTTATTTTTGAGCACGTGGTGCAAAGGTGGATGGGAGCTGAATCAACTTTGCCAGTATGTAATTTAAAATCATTAATATACGATGAAGAGCTGACCATTGTACTCTACTTCCAGGTTAAAAAAGAAAAAGGATACCGAAGACTATGATGGCTTGAATCTTCTCCTATCCACCCCATGAAACAGACATACAAGCCAATAAATATAAGTACATAACCAGGCACGAGGATTTGAGGAAATGTAGTTACGTCCTTTTTCCCAAATTCATCACATTCATAAAAATATAATTAATCATTGCAAGCATCTCCGAAATGAAGGAAGTGAAACGCAAGAGTGAAGAAATTTAAAATACTGCTCAAACAACAAAACTGAGCCTTATCTAGCTATCCCAACTACAATGGAAGTACGAAATAGTTGTAAAGATTTCATTGCCAAAACTCCAATAGATTTGCACCTTTATCCCTGCTTGCTTGCTTTTTGATAAGTCATCTAACTTGATAATCAATACATGAATTCTTTACCTATCAGTACAAGCACATGTCTGACCAAAATGTCAATTCCGGAATCAGAATATGCTAATTAATAACTTAATCCTCTACAACATATGGCATTCCATCTATGTCATTATTACATAACTCCTTTGTGCAAGTGCTAGTTGATGACTATTTATATAATATTGAACAGCCACTTTATGCAACTTCTGCTCATCTTGTCTGTAAGCAGCCCTTTTCCTGCCATTATGCCCATGTTTGGTATTGATTAAAATATGATTTTAATTTAAGTCAAAGTTAAACAATCAATATTAACCACATATTTCATTGGTCCCACAACTTTTCAACCGCACATTTCATTAACTTGTATCAAAATCTACTAAAAATTTAATTTTAATCTACACCAAACAAGGGCTATATGTATGCATAAATTTCAAGTTTTGTTGCTCAACTTAGTTTATGTACATTCATCAGATGTTAATAGCTTACAGTATTTCTTTGTCCGACATCAATTTCCAAAACACTAGCACCGGTAAGCATGACTGATATCAAGACTACTTTATTAACCTTTCCTACTATTCACAGTCTCGACCTGTCAAAACATAGTTTCTACATATATATACTGAAAGATAATTTCCAAGCATTAAACTTTGACTTTGCATTTTCATCATCATCAACACACGGAGTAATCAATCGTACCAAAACCAATGTGTCCAGAGCTGGCTAACGAAAACGACAATAATAGTAACAAAAGAATAATCCAAAATATTACAACTCACCATCACCCTTTAACGAAGGAGGAGAACTGCCAGCTCCTTTAGCAAATGAACGGGCCGGAATCGAATGCTCCAGTCGCATAATACTCTGCCCATTGTATATAAATTACAAAAAAACCTATTAATACAGAAAAGAAAATCTTCGCCGAATCATAGGAGGAAAAACCCAGTTTTTTATGTTGATTCCTCTAATAAAACCAAACCCCTTCGTGCGTTAAATTAGAAAAAGAAAAAAAAATCATATATTGTTCATTGTTGGGTGGGATCGAGAAGATAGACTGATCTGAAGAAATTCAGGAAACAAAAGAAAATAGAAAAAATATTAAGACCTGGCGAGTGGATCTGGAAAATAATCGGGTGGCGAAAGCCATTTATGCAGTGGAAGTGTGAAAACTATTTGCTGTTTCTCTCGGTTCTGGTTTGCAAGGGAAATGAAGAGGAATAACGATAGGAGAAGATGTCAACGGCGTCGTATTTGCCTATTTGACTGAAATATTGTGGGCCACTCGAGTCATGAATCCGGGTGGGCTCGAAGAAGGACCGGTTTCCCATTTTATTTTATTTTATTTATTTATTATTATTATTATTTTACATTTGCGCAGGTATCATGGACTAGAGACATAAATCAAGTAGGTATTACAACATAATGGATATTTAAAGAATTGTTCGAAGATGAAATTTATATTCTTTTATCGATTATTGAAAAAAGTTCATATTATCACGGCCTCACGGGTTTAATGTGATAGCAATAAGACAATTAAGTAAAAACGTATTTAACACACTTCATTACTTCAATAACGATAAGGGATGGAATATCATCAATATTGGACGTGGAGATATGCACTAGCGAAAAAGTAGGATCCAAGATCGAAAATAATGGAACGTTTAATTCACTGACACTTTATTTATAATAACAAGGGAAAAACGATAAACTTGTTGTATGTCTTTAGAACTCTAAATTTCAAAAAGGTACTCATTAAAGTGTTATCTAGACATAAAAGACTCTACACTTATAAATATCAAAATTTGGGATTGTAGTGTATACACTGCTTCATGTGACAATTAATAAGGTCTTAGATGTATTCATTTGAGTGTATTAGCAAAAAGAAATTGTTATCGCACTATGCTTGCTTGAGAAGCTCTTTCCAAATCTTTTTTCACCATATATTAAAAGAGGCAAAGTAAATCTTACACGTATTGCAATTTCCCGTCGTCGTCAAAAATCTCCCTTTAAAAAAAAAAACTTGAAATTAGTCAAATTTCCAACGTCCTCCTTCTCCATTATATCATCACGTAACCATCCATTCCTCCTCACCCACTCCTCATCTCTATACCGTTCCCATCATTCATCCATCCACCATGCCTTCTTCTCTCGCACCTGTTTTCTTTTCCATTTTCATGCCAATTAAGCAATTTATCTCGTGTTGCTGTGATTTCAACAATAAAATTTACATTCTGTTGAGAAGAAGAAGAAGAAATGAGTGTCACTCCGAAGAAGCCATTAATCAATTTGAAGCATTAATGGAGGAAGGTATGCTCTTACTGATCTTTATTTTACAAACATTTTTCTTAATTTCTCTTTCTTTCTATTTATGACGATTTTCTTTGGGAAATATATTTAGTTGATGAGCCACTTAGGATAAGTTTTCGATTTGCATTGTTGTCCCTTCTCTTTCATATCTGATGTGTAATTTCAGTGCAAATATTGAATGAAATCTTGCTGTTACATGGTTTTGAAAATCGGCATTCTTTTTTTCTATTACAACATAATGTCATCATCTGTTATCATTATTGATGCATTATTGATTACAGTATTCAGATGGGTAGTTTAGATGATGTTAGAAAGATTTTCGATGGTATGTGTCAAAAGACAATAGAATTATGGAAGAGAATAGTTGGTAAGTATGCGAATGGGAGAGAGTTGTTTCATAAAATGCTCGAAAGAGGTTCGTTCTTCTGATTATGTTAAAGCAAGTGAAACTGTGAACGCTAGAGATTTATTTGGTGTCGTGACTACTATCGTTGGACGTGTCCCACACAAAGACACGGGCTCGTGTCTCCCTGCCGCTCATGGAGACATGTCGTGTCTCCATGCGACATGTCTTCCTGAGCAGCACAGAGACATGCTGTGTATCCGCGTCTTTTTTTTTTGGTAACGATAACATTTTATTTTTTAGGTTAGGAAAAAATAAAGCCTGGGTGATCTTATTGTGACGTCAAATTCCACATAATAATCAATGTCTCTTTTTTGGTTTTACTATTAATATATAAACATTTCTAATATCGAACTGATAATTTTTATGTGATATTGGAGTATAGGATTTTATAGTGCAAGATGGGGATCCAACTGGGACGACAAGGGTGGCGAATCAATTTATGGGTATTTGTTTTTGTTTTGTAAAATGTGTTTTCTATTTTTTTAGTGTGTCTTGCACTTTAAAATCCTATTAAATTTATATAGTTTTAAAAAATATTATTAGTAGCATTGTATATAAAAAAAATCGTGCCTCCGTGCGCACAAGGAGGCACATCGTGTGCGCACGGAGTTGCCTTCGTGTGCCTCTGTGCGATTATTTTATTTTATTTTTACAATGCTACTAATAAGAGAAGAAAGACTAATGAAGATTTCACAGTGGGCATTTATTGCATAATCAATTATTTTTTTTTAGATTGTCTTGTGTTTTCGGTTAACAGGAATGATACTTGAACTGACAATTGTCTCGTGTGATCTGAAAGTGCCCACTTTGAACTGAGTCATGAGATAACCCAATTACTCAATCCATCTGGAGTAATGAAAAGTGACACTTGGTACCAATTTGTAAGGTAAATATTGAAGTTTCAGACTGATCAATGGATTTTCTTCTTCTTTTTATTATTATTTTATCTAACATGTTATGCCAACTCTTATTTCATTTTTGCAGCTATACATATTTGATTTCTTGGTAAGTTTTTGTTCTCCTTTTTGTATAAGGTCTGGAAGCGAATGAGAAACAAATTCTATTTTCCATTTTTTAAGTTTGGAGCGATTCTTTCGATTGTAAAAGTATAGGTTGTAGCTCGATCTTCTCGATGAAATTTGAAGTTTTACTAAACAGAAAATATTCTTTCGTTGCCAGAAATATTTATTTAGTGAAAATTACTCATTGTCTTCCATCTTTGCCTTGTGTTCTTGATTATTTGGCCTTAAAAGTTTCAATTATATATATTTATTCATATTTTTTGACAAAAAGTTTCGTCTATATTTCATAGCAACAAATTGAGATAAATTTATAACAAAGTAATGCCGTTGTCGCATTCCGTTAGTGTTGAGAGTTGGAGTCTTTATTATTTATTAAAGTAAATAACCAAATATTGAATAAATTATATCCATAAATGTTAGTTACTTGTTTTTTCCGTATTTATCTTTTTCCAAAAATATCATACATAATGTTGACCTCGTTTTTTGTAAGGGTGATGTGGACAGATGCATGGCTTATTCGCGTCCATGCAAACAAATTCTAATACGTTTTGACTGGGACTTGGACTGAGAAGGTTGCTATTTATGGATGTGGGAGATACTTTATAATGCGAGATAAAAGTACTCACACATCGACTAATAATTTTTATGTGATATTGGAGTACATGATTTTATAGTGCAAGTTGGGGATCCAACTGGGACCGGTAGGGGTGACGAATCAATTTATGGGTATTTATTTTTATTTTATAAAATGTATTTTCTAATTTTTGAGCGTGCCTTGCATTTGATTCTTTTCAAATTAATGTTTTCTTTTGGTTCTCAATACTTCTCAATTTTGTAGGTGTTGTATAGATCACCCTTTTATGGTTTTTAGGGCTTTTTTCAGAAGAAATAGGGTCAATGCTTGGATTACTTTTATAGTGAAAAAAATGGTAAAATGTCAAATTTCTAAATAGCAGCGGGTGGTGGGTGCTCTGAGGTTCTTGTTTAGAATGTCAATCTAGGAATTAAACACATTTTTTTTGGGATCAAAAAGGTGTCATTTGGCTGATTAGCATTCACGTGCAGACATAAATGATGCAACTCATGAATGAACTGACAAATATCTGTTTCTGCAGGCAATCATACAATATTCGGGAGAGTATGTAGAGGAATGAAAATTATCAAGAGACTTGGCAGTGTTCAAACTGACAACACCAATAGGTATGCTCGTTTCCTGAATATTTTCTCCATCAGATTTTTAAACAAACTACATAGAACAAATCGTAACCAAATTTGGAAAATAATTGCGGGTTACTCTCTTAATCCTCACCAAATTTAGAAAGTAAGTTCCACTTGCATCTTTTATTCAAAAGAACCATCATAAAATAGTTGTGGATCTGCTTTGGCTGCACCAGTAGAGTTGGCTCTAGCTTATACAATTCTAACCATTAACAATAACTAGTCAGATTTATTAACCAATTTTCATTCTCCTCCCATTTTGAGCTCCAACTGCAGGTATATCATGATTAAGCGTATAAATTATATTTTTAACATTCTTTGGCGATTGTTCTAAAGAGAACAATGCTGGTACAATTAGTCCATTGCAATTATCTCCTTATTTTTCTTTATTTGTAATTCCGATAGAACTATTGATTTTGCAATAAATATTTGATCTTTTATTTGGGAAACGATAGACAGATAAGCATATAGAGTTTCTTTTTACCTGATTCAGCTAATTTTTAAATAATAGCATAATTATATAATATGTTACAAAAAACCTCCGCCCACAAGGGTAGAATGCTAAGCATTCCTATTGAAAGTGCATCACTTTGCAATAGCTACATTTCTGTATTTTGGACAACTAATTTTTAGCTTATCGTATACTACTGAAGCCAGTATTCACTCTTCCAAAATGATTACAGCCCTGCTACATCTCTTGTAATTTTTCTGAACTATGAGTATCTGAGTTATTTATTTAAGTTGCTTATTATAAATTTTGTACTTAATTTTACTAATATGTGGTTGTTGACGAGACTTTGGTAATTGAAATTTTCACCATTTAACTCATATTTGACACTTTCTTCCTGCTTCGAAAAGGATTGTCGTTTAATTCCATTTGATATTTTCCTTACATGAGTATTTTCTTCCAGGGTTCTATTTTCTCCCATAGATTAGGGTAGACGGAAATGCTCATTTCAATTTGAAGTATTCTTTCAGGAGATTGTGGAGTGTCCAAAATGGCAAACGTTAGTCCTCCTAGGACTGATACTTCCACTGATGTCGACACTGAAGACAAAAACATGAGGGAGATGTCTAATATGCTTCCATACAATATGTTTAGTTCTCACATTTTATATACATAAATCAACATACACATTTCAATTGATATGCAATTGATTGTATACATTTTTCAGTTGTGCACATTTCCCACATTCCTCCTAGAATAATAATCTTGAGTGGCATTTGATTTTTATAATGTCCTGTATATGATTTTTTGATTGGTATTTTAAAATACAGTTTGGGTATTGGAGAAAAATTGTAATAATGGGATATTATTGTTTTTTATTTTTTTTTTTTCATATTATATGCTTGGAAATATGGTTCAGGAGGAAGAGAATTCAAATATTCATTTTATTCAAAAAAAAAAAAAACCACGAGACAAGGATCGTGTCTCCATGCCACACAGAGGCAAATTTTTTTTCAGTACCTTTGTGTAATGATGATGTAACCAAGATCAATTCCAAAATAAAAGCATTTTTTTTCTTCCCGACAATTAGGGGAGTCCAAAAATCCCGAACCGAGCGATTCTTCATAAGTTAAATACTCGACTGGGTACCCGAATCAAGAACCGATGGGTTTGGGCCTGGTCTAGACCAAGAATCGAAGAATCGAATAAGAACTGAAACTAAATAATTTTTTTTTTAATATTGAAGAAACGGAGTTATATGAGAGCATTGAGAAATGTAATAAATATATATTATATTTTTTAGTTTATTTGTGTTTGTTAATTGTGTCTTTTCAATTATACATGTAGACTTTCTTACCAAGACAAGTCAAACAATTGATGATTAAATCAAATAATTGGTAAATATTACCAATACTTAAAAATATTTTATTTTTATAATTTTTAATTTATATTTCTTTATGCAGGCAAGCTGTTTGAAGTAAATGAATTTATTTTATGTAATGTTGCTGTAATATTAATATCTACTTTTTGGTATTTGTATGCATTGAATTAATCTTATTGAATGGCTAGTTATTTATATATATTTGAATTGGATTACGTTAATTTGTAAAAGTTACGAATGAAATGTCATTAGTTGTATTTATATAACGTTGCTGTAAATATTAAAAAAAATTAATTATGATACAGAACCGAATCGAACCCGAACGGTTTCATAATTATATTTAGACCTGACGGTTCCATTTATTAAATATCCGAAAGTTTTATGTCGGTTCAATTCTCTTCAGAATCGAAGAGAACCGAATCGAACCGACCCACGAACAACCCTATCGACAATGATCAACTAACGTGCAACGCACGTTTCCTTCACTAGTCATATAGAAAAGTTGCTTGAGCTCATGATTACAAATAGGTACTCATTCTATCGCCAAAACAATAAGCATCAATTCTAACGCTATTCCACCATTGCCTTGTCAACTATTCAACATTTCCATTATCAGCGAACACGATTCGATTTGAACGATTTGAAAGTTTTTCAAATCAAATCATTTAAAGAGGTTAGAAAATTTTCCAAACAAAATCAAATCACTTTAATTTCTAAATCAAACAAATCCAAACCACGTTGTTCAAGTTGCTTCGATTTAAGATTACGATTTAATAAAAAAAAATATCGAATAAGTTAAGTTACAAAAATTAGCTTGAAATTTCACGTTAAGACCTAAATAATATCATTAAAAATATAAAAAATCAAAGTTTTGTAATTTTAATCATTAAATTTATAATGCAACAACATGATAGAAATATTTTAACATCCCAGTCGATAATAATTAGTGAAATATCTATAATTGTAACACATGTTTCATTATTACTATAAAGATAAAAATATAGTAAATAAATTCCTTGATTATAATTAAATGATACAAAAAAACTAATAAATGAAAATCAATAGAAAGATCAAATATGACAACACTTTTTTTTATAGCATTTTATGAATCATTCAATGCTTCTATCTCATCTAAATATTAACGAATCACTACAGAGTTTAGTTTTAGTTGGGACGTGTTTATTTTTAACTGAAAATGATAAACTTTAAATTATTTTATTTTCATATTTGTTTTAATGGCTTAGCATTTTGAAATGATTCATAAAGATTGAAACATAAACCAAAGTACTTCATAGTGATTTAGTTCGATTCAAAATTAAAATTTTGATGGATCCACGCAGACTCAAACCCACAATTTCACAAAATAAAAAAGGTTATCGATTCGATTTTACGATTTCGTTGTTCAGTCTTAGTTACCACTACAATCTAGCATTGTTTTCCAGTAAGTCCCCTTATTTGATTTCACTAAAAAGTTAGAACAAAATCTAAACTAAAGTCAATAATTAATTTTAGTCACATATTTAATGGGATTCACAATTTTTAACAATACATTCTATCAACTCTTATCAAAATTCAGGGTCCGTTTGATAGGTAAAGGTGGAAAAGAATTCCAATTTCATGTTAGTTGGAAAATAAAAATCCACCGGACCTAATATAATTCGTTTTTCAAGAAAACAATGAAAATGCAGTTTAAAGTGATTGTATATTGGAATTCAGTTTCTATTTCCGCTTTGCAATTAAACAGATAAAGTGAAATTCGTTTTTCTTGGATGTGACATGTTTCATAAAATTCGTTGCAATCAAGTATAATCTTACTAAAAAATTGATTTTTATCTAAACTAATAAGACCTTGTTGGACAATAATTATTTGGGTAAAATGAAGTTTTGAATAGTGATTTTTTGGAGAATCCGTGATTAAAAAGTAGAGAAAATTTTTAAATTTATGTGTAAAATATTTTATTGTGTGTGGTTGAAAATGGATATATAAAAAATGAGTTTTGAAATTACGGTTGTAAAATAAGGCGTAAAGCTCTTTCATGATAAAATTCCATTGAAGTCCTCAACTTTCTTATAATTTCAATAAAGACCCGACTAAAAAAATCCCATATACTTCGGGTATTATACCAACAAAGGAATGTTTCTGTACAAGTAGCTTCCTTGTTTGATTGCAACGAATTTTATGAAAAATGACACATTCGAAAAAAAAGAATTTCATTTTAACTATTTGATTACAACGTGGAAATGAAAATCGAATTTTAAGGTACAACCATTTTAAAGTATTTTTTTTTTCATGGAAAATGAATTTACGTGGATTTGATAAGTTCTTATTTTTGAACGAGTATGTTGGAATTGTTTTCTGCCTTTACCTGAGCATCGGCACGGCCCCACTGCACCCCCATTCTATTTCGCATTCCAAAACTAAGCAAAATACGTTCTTCCAAAATAAACGTGGCTCAAACACCCCCTAAGAATTACAAACCTCAAAATTCCTAGTTCTCCTTCCATGGATTTGGAGAAGCACGTAGAGAAAATTTTATGGACAGAACAGCAAATATTTCAACGAGTCTCCGAGTTGGCCTCTGAAATAACCCAAGATTTCACTCCTCAAACCAACGCTCCAGCCATTGTAGGTGTCGCTACTGGTGCTTTTCTGTTCCTAGCGGACCTTGTTAGGAAAATCCAACTGCCTATTTCTGTAGATTTTATTCGGGCCGATTCATATAGGTCGGGCACTGTTTCGGATGGAAATCCCAGAATTCCTTTTGACTTGAAGGTCGATGTTGAAGGAAAGCACGTGATTCTGGTACGCAGTAATCTTATTATTGAGAATAAAGAATGTTTGTGCTAATTTCATTTTTACCTTGATTTTTGTTTTTTTCAGTTGTCTGGGAATGGATTGATTTTGTAGCATATATTCAAGCAAACTGAAAGTGTAGTAATTGCTTACTAGAAAATGATCCATTTAGGGCAGGAATGTTGAGCGTATCTGTTCCCTCAAGATAGTTTAGTTCTTTATATAGTACACACGCTAGTTAAACAATAGTATGCACTTGTTACACCCTTAGAACTTATTTTTGTGTGGCCTTTAATTAATAAGAAGTGGTATCCAAGAAAGGAGGGACTTCTAGAATTCCTTAGTATAATACCTCTGCATTGTACTAGTAAGTGGCCATCTAATGGATTCACATGCCCATTTTAGATCGCAGGTTTGTATAGGTAGAATGTGATGTTTTCCGTAAATACGGAACGCGTATTCTGGGATTTACATTGGGCCCACGGCCTCGTGCATACCTGAATAGAGTGTTCATGGTGAAATGATGGCAAGTGGAGGGATGGGTAGATGGTGTTTCCATTTTTCCAATAGAGACAGCTATATTCCTTTGTTTGGCAAGAGGGATGAAAATGAGTTGAAAAATCTGAAAAAATGGAGAATGATTCTATTGTTCTCTTTTTTCTTCCATATGTTCATTCCCTCTATTTGTGTGCCTTCCTATCAAACAATGTAAAATCAATCCCTATGCGTGTTCCTTCCACCTTATATTATACCACACCATATACAAACTTAGGTACATCTCATGATCCAAAATGAAAAATTCCATCATGGAGGACATGTGTGAGCCATAACCACTCAAAAGGAGAATGATTGAATCGTACTTTTAAGTGAGTCACTTTTTACTCTCCAGTTGATTGGTTGGGCTGGGCCAAAACATACTCAATCTGGGTAAACTTTTCGTTCATTACATTTACACTTTTGAGTGTGCACATGTCCTGCCTGATTATGTGCATTTGCTTGTTCTGTACTGCCAGTTGACATTCGGAGGGATTTTTTTACTACTGTTGCTTTGTTGTATTAGTCTGTTAACTGTCTACGAAATGTTTGTGTTGCTTCACTTACTCAGTATAGTTAGTTATGCTATTACCACTTATCACTTGTTTCAATCCACAGGTTGAGGATATTGTAGATACTGGAAGCACTTTGTCCTGTCTAATTGATCACATAAAATCTAAAGGTGCATCCTCCATATCTGTCTGCACCCTTCTTGATAAACCAGCACGGCGGAAGGTTCATTTTGAACTAGTGGGTAAAGGAAAGTATTACTGTGGCTTTGAGGTGATCTCTCTCCCCATGCTTGCGTATACAGAGTAGCCTCCTTTGGTTTTATAGTGTGGGAATGTAGCATTGGTTTACAGATAATAATCTCTTATATGTTAGTTTTTGTGTTATACAATATGGTAGATAATATGTCATATAGCTCTTGAAATTCAACTGAAGACAATCCACTTCTGTTGTCTTAATGTCCCAGCCAATTTGCTGTTACCTGTGGGTTACTTATTCTGATAGGAAGGCTTATACAACTGGTGGGGTTCTCTTGATTTAATAGTTGTAAATTCTAGAATAAAGCTTGACCATCTCATAATATATTATCGATAAAAGCACTCCTCTCCTATCCCCGACTGGTGGACCCATAAAGCGGGCTACCCTGGGCCTAGGAGAGCCTTACTAATTCTGCAGTCTTTTCAACCAAAATAAAATGAAGTTAAGAATTTTTGCAGAAGAGAATAAAGTTTTCAACTAGAAGCATTTCTCCAATTTTGGGGGGAAATAGATGCAATTCTACGAGTTTTGGGAGAAATGAATGCCCTTTACAACCACTATGCAATTCTGCAGTTTGAATGAATTGATGTCTTCCACATGTGCTTCAACATTGTCCACCAATTATGGAAATGGATTGTTTCTTGGATGGTGGAGGTTGATCTTCTCATGTGGTGGCTGTGCTGGTGTTCTTGCAAATTGGGGTTGGATGAAATGGAGTATGGAGAACAGGAAATCAATTTCATTATTATTTTTTTCTTCAATTGAAATAAATAGCAATCACTTTAATAAAAAGTTGATATTAAACCCCTGTTTGGTAAAAATTAAAATCTAGATTTTAATCTAAGTCAAAGTCAACCATTAATTTTAACAATATATTTCATGGGACTCACAACTTGTTAACCACACGTTTCATCAACTTTTATAAAAATCTACTAAAAATCTTATTTTAATCTTCATCAAACAGGGGCTTAAATGGTAACTTATATGATTCTGTCCATGGAGTCTATTTCTTCTGCTTTCATGGAAGGTCAGGATCTGACTTTCCATGATAAAAGTTTAAGGACCTGATTGTACAAAATGCATAAGTGAGAGGCAACTGCTGCAATTTTATCTTCATTAAAATTACGTTACACCCCCCACCAACCAAAACTATAGTCAATGTTATGTACCTTACTCTGTTCCAATTTCATAAGAGATCAAGTATCGTATGTTTTGTGGTAAGTGGGTTCTGGTCCTATAGTTGATGAACACTGGGATAATAGCATAACACATGATATTTGTTTCTGTACATCAAAGTAGTTTGTTTGACCTGGATTTACATTTTTTCAGTTCTTAGGTTGAGGCTTGCTTGTGACTGATCTCACACGATTTTATGCTTCTGAACTACGATTTTTAGTAGTTTTAGTTAAGCCCTCGTTTGGCCACCTTATTTTCTCATTAAAATGAAAAATATGACCGTTATCCTTCACATCAACATTTAAATTCAAATTTTCTATCTCTTGTGTGGGCCCCAATAACGACTATATTTTTCATTCTCATTCTACAATAAGGTGGCTCAAACAAGCCTAAAAGCTGGAAGCCAATTTTAAAAGCAGTGAGCTTTGGCCTCTGTTTGGCAATCAATTTATAAATTCAATTAAAGTCAATCAATAATTTCAACCACACATTCGTGACTGCTATTCATCCGCGGATTTCATGGACCCACTACTCTTCCTCTTCATAAATGATTTGTAAATTTGCCAAAGAGAGGCTTGAATTTTTGAAGTACCTGGATTGAGGATGAAAATACTAACCTGTTGATATCCGTAAACTGCGAGAATATGCTTTACTCCTCGATATTTTTGATGGTTTTATAATGTTTGAAGAACTGTCATAACTACTATTAAAGTGATTATGGCCTAATGAATGTCGCAGTGCCCAGATTACTTTGTTGTCGGATATGGAATGGACTTTGCGGAGCTCTACAGGAACTTGCCTTATATTGGTGTTTTGAAGCCTGAAATGTACTCATGATTTCTCATGTCAATTTTTGTTTTGTTACACATTTATTTGCCCAGGTGTGATCTTATATATCAGGAACCTAAAATTAAGACGTGTACCATAATAATGTCTTTGAAGTATGAAATCTCACTCATAACGAGATTGAAAATAGGTAGAGTCCCAAAATTTATCATTACATTAGTGTTCACTCTTATTTGAATTCAAAGCCAGCTGTATATAAGAAAAACACACACTGGTATGTGAATATTCAAGAAAAAAGAGACATGCACGCATAATCCACTTTGAAGCAGGGTTCGATTTTAATTTATCCTTGGTTCATGTTTTCGAACACTGTAATTTTACTACTGTAACTAGAAACAATTGCACGGTATCTGTTGCTTGTAGCATTTTTCTCTAAGAAACTTAATGTAGAATTTTCAGATTCTGTCATAGCTTTAACTTGTGTTTGTTGTGCTTATAGTTAAATTTAGGTAGTTTTGCGAGTTAATACACCAAATAGTCACTGAGCTTTGTCAAAAATTTTCAGGAGGTCACCGAATTTCAAAACTTTCCTAAATAGTCACTGACCTTTGCCAAAACTTCCGAGGAAGTCACTGAACTTTGCAAATTGGGACCTCATACATCAATGGTTCAGTGACTATCTAGGGAAGTTTTGACGAAGATCGATGACTATTTATAAAAGTTTAGAAGTTCAATGACCCCCTAGGAAAGTAAATCTTATTTGTTATTCCTTTTTGGGTTTTTTGTGAGAGCGTGGTATGCTGTGGTAGTAGGCAATGGGTGGATTTTGATCTGGTTGGGTGTTTGGGGGTGAGGTGCGTGGGGGTGGGGGTGTTACGGGGAAAAAGGATGAATAGTTCCTCAATTATTTTATTTATTTATTTTTTAATTATTTTATTGGAGAAATATAAAATTATAATTTGTCCTTTATTAATCGAAATGTGGTGAAATTCATTTTTGGGTCAACTGATGGAGGAATGTACGGATTTCTTCTATTTGTTCTCCGGCTGTAATTCAAATGAAATGTTTGACACTGTGGTTTAAAAATGAAAGGCTTGAATATAATTTGTAACTAATTGAAAGGTTTTGGATCCAATTGCAATTTTTCTATGGAAATTTAAAAACTATTTTTCGGAAGACAAGCTCGACCTTGTGTATTAGATGCCTCACTGTGGAATAAGTTTAATATAGCTTTATTTGTCAGCTTCATGACCTAGGAACCTGACAACGTGCAATAATAAATTATATAAATTTTTAGTTATAAGAAAATGAATTTTATATTTCTCTTTAATGCATGAAATTGGTACGTGTCAATCGTGTGGGATTTAGTTGGATTATGAGATTAATATACTCAGTTAGAGGACAAAATACAGCTTTCAAATAAACATCATCTACCATCATCAATAGCAGGTCTACAGGGAGAGAAATCGCTTCTTGAATCTTCGGTCCAAGTGTGTATATGTTGTGACCTCTGAATTTATCTCGTCAGCGAAACAAGAAGGAAGACAGCCATTCCTTAGGATTAATCAGGTGAATCTCGAACACCTGAGTTATAAAAAAAAATTAATAAATTAATTAAGTTCGAATGGTTTATTATCCCATTAATTAAACTCAAATAAATATTGAGTACGAGATTCGATGGAATAATGCTCCACATCGATAGTGCATTGAGATACTGTTATGTAAACTGATGTTACATGCTAATAGCACTGTATAAAAAATGATGAAATGCCTGTTTGAAAAATCGATAAAAGTTATGGATCTATTGAATGCGTGATTAAAAAATGAATTTGAAAAAAAAAAAGTTTTTAAAATGGACCAAACAGGGGCCTGATTAAGAAGTCAATGCTAGTTATTTAAAATGGCTAGAAAAATAGCACGTGGCATATCAAGCATGGTTGAGCTGAATTATAAATCATCAAAAGGTTGGATTCCTTTTCCCTTTCATTCACGAGTACACAACCACTAGACTTTATTCTCTGGTGCTGAGAAGTAGGAAGAAATAGCACTTCACATTGCAGGTGCAGTCTATCAACCCAACTTTCATATCTTTTACGGTACGTTGATCTTGCTTAAAAGTCGCTTAAAAATCGTTAGAAAGCCAATTTGGCGGCACGTAGAGTTGGAATTGGCTTTAAGATTGTCGACACGTGCTCTTTACTTTCATAATCTTCAGTTGGAATTCATTTCTGCTATGAGTTCTGATTCATGCTCAGACAGATTTTTGATGTTTAACTACAATACTAATGAACATAGGGAGGTTGTGATTTTTCTGGTTAAAACTTTTTGCTTCTAATAATCTGTTTGGAAGATTTTCTTTCTTTCTTTCTTTTTTGCTTTTTTTTCTGTGAATCCGTTTTCACTTTTTTAGTCAAAACATTTTTTAGCTGTTTTTTTTCTAGAAGATACCTTTTGATTCAAGAATTTACTTTTTCAAAAAGAAACTTTACTTTCTTTAAATAAATATCGAGCATGGAACATTATCCTCTTAGTTTCTCCTTAGTATTTTACCCATAATTGACTTGACGCAAATTGCAAGAAAAATAGTCATCGACACTATGATTTCCAGCATGAAACATTATCCTCTTAATTGTCTTTCTTTGGTCAGCATTGAAGTCTCATGCTATAGATACATAATTCAAACCACAAGGGTGACATGGAGCCCCCTATTCGGGGTAATGTTACGTACACATAGCATTTTGTAGTATTGAATATTGTAATGGACAAAATTGTAATTTGGATTTCTTTTATAATACTCCTTGTATACGATAATTTAGATGATCAATAGGAATTAGACCTGGCTGTAACCAACCAATGTTGTCGTTTTCTAATTATGGAAAATTTCAGATGTGGAGAGTTCTATCTGGTTTTAGATAAAATTTATTTTAAAAAAAAACCAGCCACAAAATGTTTTCTCCGACTTTCTTTTTAGTCCTTGTTTGGTACACATTTTGGGAGCAATGATGTATTTTTACTGTTGATGTGATGAAGAATTTGTGATTGAAAAAGAAGGAAAAATTATTGATACGATGAAAAATATTATTTTATTGAAAAATGTGTGTTTAAAAATGAGTAAAATGATGAGAACAAGAAGGATGAGAATGACTTATCCTGATTAAACGAACCATTTTTTATAATTAATTTTTCTTTTCAATTTGGCAGTTTTTAATTTTTGATATCCTCTGAAATTCAATGTTGATTTCGTTGGCGAAAAACTCGCCAACGAAAATTCACTGTTAAACTCCTTCCCGAGGCACACAACTCACTCCTGTTAAAAATAATACTGTAGAGGTATAATTAACAACCCACTTGAGCTCCGGGTTTAATCATTCATATTAATTTTTTCCCATTTAATCTGTTTTTTTTTTTTCACAATTTTTCCATTTATTTCTTATAAATTTTCGTTTAGACTTTCTGTTTAAACATGAGGAAGCAGAATTCAAGACCCCACCGCCACCAATCAGAGGTATTGTTGTATGTTTTTTCAGATTTCCCCCTTCTAGAATGATGATTACTTTTTGTATGTATGTATTATTATTATTTTTTTTTTCGATTTTCTTGTATTGTTTTGTTTGACTTGAGAGAGATTGCAGAGAAGTTGGGCTGAAAAATTGTGTTTCGGTTGCACATGCCTGCAGCTTTTCTGGGCTCGAGTGGTCATGCGCAAATGGCTCAACCTCACCAACAACAATTCAGATTACTCCGCCGACACTGACTCCGATTCCGACTCAGTATTCAACTCCGACCCAGGTTCACTTTCGTAGTTTCACCCATGATCCTTTTGTGCTTCTCACTTGACATTTCACATGTTTATTACCTAGCATTGGGCATGATTGAATGTTTCACTGGATATAACTTCAATTGTATAGTAATACGCAACTCACCCAGGTAATATTCTAATGATGTATTACTTGCTTTAATTTTTGTTTTTGTTTTTTGCAGAATATTGTCATTGGCTGGGTGCATCACGCTTTAAGAACAACAGAAGTGATGGAGTTCGAGTCGAGGCTTATGGTAATGTGCTTTATTCAAAGTTCAGGGTGTTGATTTTTGGTTCAACTTTATTTCGATGTGTGTTAATGTGAACGCTGTTCGATTTGGATTGTTTGTGTCATATTTTCAATTCAAACAATTTCATGCGGTGTGGAATTTTTTCAACTCAAACTAAACCATTTTATTTTTAGAACCTAACCAAACCATAATTTGCAAGTTGGTTATGTTTTAATCCGCAGTTTGCCTATCGACATTATAATAATATATTTAAAATAAGTTAACATATAAGTTTAAACGAGAACTATTAATGTTAAATTACATTCATCTTTCCCNTAATAATGTTAAATTACATTCATTTTTTCCATGAAACCCATGAATAAATTATTTTCAAAGTTGGTTGCTAAAAAATGTTAATAGACCAATATATCTTTTTTCCTTTTTATTTACATTTTCTTGTTTGTCTTTCATATTGTCACATAACAGTTGGTAAAGGTAGAGTCACGTTCTGCTGTAATAGTTTGGTTAAAACTCATTTTGTCTTGCTAGTGAGATGAAAAATAAGGATTGGACACGATATGTTTGGATGTACAAAGAATGATAGAGTTCGGGTTTACTGGGAATTGACAAATTTCATTTTTTAACTACTTTGAGAAAGTAGAAGGCATTAGTACTAGTTAGTGAACTTTAACATTTTCACACAATTAATACGCTCGGTCATTCGTTCTTTTCAAACCACAAATAAGTTCATTGATCACCTAAGCACACAAACGTGTGTATGGACTTATAAAATCATGGGCCAATAATGATGAATTTTTATATGATTATTTCAATGGGCTGATTGTAATTTGTATTAATAAATTGGTATTTTTTCTGAAAAGTGAAAACTATAAAATATATAAGTTAATAAAATTAATTTTTTAATTTTAGAACAGTTCGGATCATTTTTGTGCGATTTTTGAAAATTGAAGTCTAAACCAAATCTTTTGAAACGGTTTGGTTTGGTTTGCAGGAAAAAAACTACGGGTTCACGTGAACCCGAACCAACGGTTTCGGTTCGGTTTGTGGTTTTGTTGTGCAGCCCTACCTTTTTAATCACTTTTTCATTCGAAAAATATAGAATTTCTTTTCTTATTTTTTTTGGTAATATATTTGTCTCATAGTTAAACGCCAGTCTAAGTGGCAGCACTGACGGCATTAAATTACAAGTTCAATTAAATGAATCACATAATTTCACGTTTAATTCAACCTATCACATAATATCACAGAGTGGTGCTGCACAACATTATTTGTCTCAGAAGCTTCCTTTTTGGGCTGAGTGAATTTTCACAATATCTGATCGTGCTCTGGACATGGGTGATTAACTTATCCTACTTTATATAAAAGAACTAAAGATTTTTTGTTTCTTCTTTGTCGAAAGGATTCTGATTTGTTTATCTAATAGAGGAACTTTAAATGTTTGGTCCTTTTGAATTGCTCGCTAGAGGAGTTATAGTTTTCGGATCTTTTCTCGAGTAGTACATTATTTATTGCACATTCTATAATACAAAATTCAATTTCTGGTGAAACTTTACAGTTAAGTGTATTGATGCAATATACAGTGCCAAGTGCTCCATGACAAAGTTCATGCTCTCCTTGGGCTGTTTTATACTAAGCTTATAGTTATATTTACATCTCTTTTTGAATCACACGTTCCTTTATTCTTAAATGGGGATTAGTAATATATAAATGCACTTTTGTATTCTAGAGGCTCTTCCCTGGATAAGAAGAAAGTCGGAGACATTCAGGGCTCAGTATATAAACACGAAGGAAATCAGGTAGGAGTTCTTTTCATTTTGATGATAAAATGCTAAAGCTAATTTACTAATGCAAGCATCATTGCATTATTAGGTTGAGTTATTGGAATAGCTTTATTCTTTCTATTATGTCTTGTCTTTTGCTAGAATATGTGCGGGCACATGGAATGTTGGAGGAAGAGTTCCTCCAGACAATCTAGATCTAGATGGCTGGTTAGATATTGATGAGCCTGCTGACATATATGTAATTGGGTAAGTTTGTCTCTATATCTATGTTTTGGATGCTTCTTGCTTGTAATCTACATTAAAACAGTCTCCATATTCATTTGTTTCACTTATGTCAGTTTCCGACAGTTAATTATAATGCCTGTCTATTTCTATCATGGGCACCTACTAAAATTGGGATAATTTTCTAGGAATCAATCTCAGTATCATTCCTTAACAATCAAAGTCAAGTCACGAGCCAGTATTAATGAATTTGAGACCCATGTTTTTGTGTAGAATGCATTTTGGAATAGTAGATTGACGGAGAATGTGTGGTTAAAAAATAAGAAAAGGTTTTGGATTTGCGTGTAATATTATTTTATTGAAGAATGCATAGTTGAAAATAAGAGAGAGAAAAATGTATTTTGGAGAAAATGGGATCAAACAAGGACTAAATGAAGTAAAGTTCTTGATCTTGATATGATGTGTTATTGATGTTGAATTTCCTACACTCTTTTAAATAGCCAAGTTTGCACTAATTTTATTTTTTGTGGCTACAAAATCCTTGATGCTTCTTTTGATGCATGCATTTATATACACAGCCTTCAGGAGATTATACCATTAAATGCTGGTAATATATTTGGCGCTGAAGACAGGCGACCGGTTTCAATATGGGAAAACATAATTCGTGAAACTCTGAACAAAATTCCGCCTGTCACTGAATTCAAATGCTACAGTAATCCTCCTTCTCCATCAAGATTTAAGCCATCTGAAGATGCACCAAACATAGATGAAATCTTACAGACTGACAGTGACTTTGAGGAAGAAATCTGCCCACTGAATGAAGAATCAAACTTTGTTTCTGAAATCAAGGATGGAACAGTCACAGGAGAAAATGTTGTTGATCTGGATGCCTCTGTTTCCATTAACAAACACGACTTGGGAATTTCAGTTGAAAAGGGGTTGCAACGCCAATTTTCTTCTCCAGTTGTGCTGGACAGATTGAACTGCTTCGGGACAGAGGATTCTGAAGAAAGCGAAGCATTGCCAAGCACCCAGTACATCAATAAATTAGCCAGAACACTAAGTGGGATAGAACGGATTGGCTTAAGCTGGCCAGAACCTCCTCTACATCTTTTGGGTCAGCATGTTTTAGAGAGAAATAATTCCTTCAAATCCTTCAAAGCTTCCAAATCTTTCAAGACATATGGTTCTTTCAAGTCAAACATAGCAGGTGAAAATAAAATGAGATCAGATATAGCTTCACTTGCCGAACTTAACCTTGAAAGCCTGCTAAACCGGAAAAAAAGGTCCCCTTACGTTAAAATAGTAAGCAAGCAAATGGTCGGAGTTTTCATTACCATCTGGGTTCGTAGAAGCTTGCGAAGGCATATACAGAACTTAAATGTGTCTTCTGTTGGTGTTGGTGTCATGGGATATATAGGCAACAAGGTTAGTTCCTTTTTTAATCTTAGCTTGAAATTATATGTTAGTACTTCCTAGATGTGCCTATTACTTTTCAATGTTATAGATTATAGATTGTGAATTTTCTTGTTATCTAATATTAACTAACCCTCTGTGCTGTCATATACTTTGGGTAATTATTTTCCATTTGCAGTGCAAGGTTATATTTCCGTATACTTGCTGTGTAACTATTCATTTTTATGCCATGAATTTTATGACAAATATGAACCTTCACTCATCGAGGATGAGAATAAGTATTCATGACTCAAGAATCTACATTTGGATTTAGGATGATCATAAACGAAAATATAAAAGAGGTTGAGAAGTATCGATCTTTAAGATGACTGTTGTGAGGTATCCATCTAAAGTTAATTTTCAGGAATTGTTCGGCCAGGCTGAACAAACAATCTAGGTAGAGGGATTATAAAAGATGACGAGAATTATCAATCTCTAAGAACTAAGGTTATTGTCTGTGGAAATTTTCAGATCAGAACTATAGACCTTGAACAAATTTGCCTGAAACCTTTAATGCTTCCAGTATATAGAATTGTTTTATTAGTAAATTAGATCATTGGTTCATTGTTATGAACTGAACACATATCTAATAACTGATCAACATAATTTCTACTTTGTGGGTGTGCATGTCGTATTGTAAAACTAATAAAAGCATTCTCATTTGTTTCCTTCTGTGGATTACGAAAATTTTCATTTTAGAAGCACAAGATTGTTGCTCTACGTAATAGAATGTCAAGTAGACATAACTAAAACAACCTGTACATCCCAATTTAGCTTATAGCTAAGCTGTTTCTATAGTATGTTTTGACGAGATACATCAGAGACCAAAAGTAGCTTTGTTTGCTTCCATTTTTGGTGTAAAATGAGACCGATCTCTCTACACCAATATTCTTGAGTGTTTTTTTTAATGTGTTTTGCTAATACTGTTGTACTTTTAGGAATATTCTAAAGGTGAATGCCCTAAAACTAATCCTGGTAGTCCAGGTCTTTTTCTAATGTTCTTTTTGTAGATGTCAGATAGTTTTATGATCTGCTTTAGGAAGTCCTTTCGGCACTTTAATCTCTCATTGCATCAAGCAATCGATTAATGCTATTGTGCTTCTTCAAATATCACAACTGTCATTTCTGCTTTCAGGGATCAATATCTGTTAGCATGTCTATATATCAGACGCTCTTTTGTTTCATTTGTACTCATCTCACGTCAGGTGAGAAGGATGCCGATGCAGCCAAAAGAATCGCCGATGTCCAAGAAATACATAGACGGACACGTTTTAATTCGCTCTCTAGCATTGGACTTCCTAAATGCATCCGTGACCATGAGTAAGTATATTTAGTTCTACCCATTTATTCGACTTCAAATTCTAATAAACCGACAAAGGTAATGCCCCATTAATGTATTGAAACGTTATGTTTTGAAAGAAAGCTCATCTTCTATGCTTGTTCCAACTTACCGCAAAAAATGGAATCTTAATTTTTGAATATGGGATTTGAATTGTCAATGAGATTGAATAAGATTCCAGAGATCGTCAAAGATTACGATTATATTATTATAATTGTATTAGATATAGAAAGATTATTTTTACCATTAATTAATATTGTAATTATTTGCTTCCTTATTTCGTTGTTTTTTTAGTCCTATTTAATGAAAGAACCTCTCACAAAGAGNAGAACAAAAGTTAGGGTCTGTTTGATTGCAAGGGTAGAAAATGGATGGAAAGAAAATGAATTTCAGAGAAAGTAATTGCTTAAAACTTTTTTTCCAGGGAATTGTTAATTAAATGTGTTTGATTAGTATAATTTTTCATTCGAAAAATTTTAAAATTTTGGATCTTTTTGTGTTCATTTGGCTTTGTTTATATGAAAATTGTTCATTAAAATAAAAAAATTTCAACATTTGGCTATAAAATTTATTTCCATTGCCAAAAAATAAAAAAAAAATTCCTAGAAAATTGTTTTTTATCAAAATTTAGTGTTCTTTTGACTTTGTTTTACATGAAAATTGTCCATTAAAGTGAATTTTTTTTTTACAATTGATTATAAAATTTGTTTCCATTGCCAAAATAAAATAAAAAGCTGGAACTTCCATTTCCCACCAAAAATGTGGGAAAAACAATTCAAGCAAATCCAAGAAAACAGGCACGTGAGGAGCCAATGTAGAAAACCAAATGCCAAGAAAATTATTTCCATCAAACACTACAAAACTTGGAAAATGGAAAACTAATTCCATTTTCCATGGAAAAGGTGGTGTATCAAATACAACCTTATTATAATAAAAATCATAGAAAACATCATCATTATAACACCAAAAACACAAAAGATAAATGAAAAATACTAAAATGGGTAGTCTAATAATTGATTACCTCTTAAGTTTAGTCTAACAAAAACCCACTTTGATGTTCTTGTAATTTAATGTATCTTTGCATGTTTGTATTTTTTATAGAGACAAATGAAGATTACATATGATGATCAGTTAGTTCCAATGGAGAGAAATTATTAAATGAATTAGTAACATTGATCTTCATATTCAAATATGTGTTGTCTAAATCTAGAATTGTGATTAAAACGGATAAACATAGGGAGATTCAAGGTTATAGTGTTTGTCAATTAGTTGAGTTTTATAATGCTTCCACATTAACTTGTTAGATTAGTTAGTTTAGTATAGATTTTAGATTTTTAATATGAAACTCATTCATAAACTAATCTTGTTATTTGATGGTGTAACATGTCAATAAGATTGAATAAGATTACAAAGATCATCAAATATTACTAATATATTGTTATAATTGTATTAGATATAGATAAAATGTTTTTTACCATTAATTAATATTGTAATTGATTGCTACCATATTTAGTTGTTATTTTAGTTTCTATATAATTAGAGAATCTCTCACATAGAAGGGTATCAAGTCTTTTATTGAGTATATTTGACATGAATAAATTAGATTCCTTCTATTTTCACCTAAATTTGTCAAATTGTATTATACTCTGTGGTAGTAGATCTAAACAGCAGTCATGCAATGTTGGTGTTAACTAATTTTTATAAAATTATGATTTTAAATTCCGTGTGGTATTTGAAGGATCACCTCCAATTTGAACTTTTCATATTTATAGATCCACTTAAAATCGCTTTTAAGTGAATAAACCTCGATTTCATTACCTTACTTTCTGTAACTCTCTTATTTGGTTGCAGGAGGATAATCTGGCTGGGGGACCTGAATTATCGTATCAATTTGTCATATGAGAAAACAAGAGAACTAATTTCGAAAAAAGACTGGGCTAAGTTAGTTGAGCATGATCAGGTGATTGTTTTTTAATTTTATTTATTTTTATCTTGACGTAGATTAAAATATCAAAAGTTAAGTCCTTTGTTAGTTTTTATTTTTTAAAAATGTTTTTTTAGCTGCTAGTCAATGAATTTTCTAAATGAGCTAGCTGAGGCAGCTCATGCATGCATACATTCATAAATATTTTTGAGAGGAAGACAACAAAATTAGAGAATCACCGAAATAAGCTACAAGGTGTCTAACCGAAATGTACTTTGGCTTATATTTTGATTTAGTTAGTATTTGCATAAAGAAAAAGTCGTCTCATATAATACTTTTTATATTTTTTAGTTGACGTTGACACTTTTCTATTTTGGCAGCTCATCAGAGAGCTTAGGAAAGGGCGGGCATTTGATGGATGGTCTGAAGGTACTTTGAACTTTTCCCCAACTTACAAATATCTGACAAATTCAGATACTTACTGTGGAGAGGATTCAAGGGCTGGGAGGCGCACTCCAGCATGGTATGTATGTAGTAGATCTTTTTCTTATTGAGAGTCTTGACACTTCCACTCAAATATATCCCTTCTATGTTTTTTACAATGCAAGCATTATTAAAAGACATCTACCAAGAATTGTTTGTCCTTTTTTTGTCTTTACTCTTTTTCTACTTTGTCAAGTAGTCTTGAGCCTGATTGAACTAATTGTAATAGCAATACTCATTTGCTTGTTTCTCTAATTTTGTTGCATCTCTTATTAATCCTACATTTCCTCGTAATTTTGCTTCACTTATTTATTGAAAAACAACTATATTCATGTTTTGGGGTCTCTGCACAGTTGTATCTTATCAACATATTATTTTAGAAGATATTCAGGGTCATGGCATGAATTAGTTCGGAGATTTTAGAAACTACTTCCTGTATACACGCTGTTAATCCCTGTTACTCTTTAAAATTTTGCCAATTGCTTTCTCAATTTGTTATCTTTTTTGATATATGAATTAGTTTGGAGATTTTAGAAACTATTTCCTGTACACACACTGTTAATCCCCGTTATTCTTTGAAATTTTGCCTATTGCTTTCTCAATTTGTTATCTTTTTTGATGTGTACATATATAGGTGTATATGTATATGTGGAGACTGAGAATTGTCTTCTTCAAGAGACAATAGTATTTTCTAGTTGTTAAAGAAATGATGATTTTTTTAAGATATGGGAGGCTTTTTCTATGGGCATGGAGTTTGGAAGAAAAGAGTAATTCTCAAAAGTTCCCCTGAAGATACATGTTTTGTGTCTTTTACCTTTTATGTGAAAATCCATCTCTTTATTCATGTAACTTTCAGTGAGCAGTGTCTTGTAACTTCCTGAATTTACTGAATTGGTGAGTTCATTATCATATCTTAGCACAACCTTGCATTTTTACCTTCTCTCCAGGTGTGATCGCATTCTTTCATTTGGGAAGGGTATGAAGCTATTAAGCTATAGGAGAAGTGAACTTAAGCTATCTGACCATCGACCTGTGACTGCCTCTTATATGGTGGAAGTTGAAGTATTTTCTCCTAAGAAGTTGCAAAGGGCACTCACTTTCACTGATGCAGAAATTGAAGAAGAGGACATCGTAATGGATGGAAATTGGAAGTAATTTGATCCAGTTAAGATCAGGATAGGTGAGTACTGTACCTACTTGGAAGTATGTTTCAATTCGAAAATTCATGTGGCAATCTTTGTATGTATCTAATGTGCAAATATTCAATTCTCCTGTAGTTTAGTTGCTGAGCAATATGACATCAGATAAAAAATTTATGACATATCTGTAAGGTGGATTAGATAAAATTAAATACTATCAGAAAGAGAATGAAAAAAGAGCGAGCATTAAACACTATCAAAAAGAGAAAAAAATGGAAAAAAGAGCTAGAATGTTATTCCTTATGTTCTCGAGTTGCTAATTATCGAGTGTAGCCGATGATCATTTAGCATCAAACCCCAAAACTTAATGCACGTCTTCATTGGCTTTGTAAATCACTATTACTTAACTACTCTTTGGGATATTCGTGTTGCACTGAATACTTTACTGATACAGTGTGCATCTTTCGGCAGCATTAGGAATGCTAACCTGCGAAAAATGGGGGAGATGGTGTAAGTGAGAACATTCCCTATGACATTCAGATAAGGATGAAGATATGAGTGAGCATCCATGACTTGTGGAGTTCCCGAGGTCGTTTCCTAGTGATGCATTCTTTTGATTCTTTATTGCACTGTGATTGAGCTTGTACATGAAATGTTTAGTTTGTCAATGTCTTTGCTTTACATTCTTATCTTCCTTCCATTTTCGCATGTCGTTTATTGTAATGTATTAGTTTTTTGGAAGGAATTTTAGTGATAATCAGTAGTTTTCTATTGGAATTACACAATGACTTGAATTCTTTTGATTCTTTATTTGCAAGCTGCAAGTTTTCTACTCTCTTTGAAAAGTTCATACTTTGTTATAGAAAAAAAAGTACTTGATTTCATTCATATTAACTCTCCACGCAACTATATAAGCAAGAAGAACTTAGGTTCGTATTTTTATTTTTTCCTTTTATTAATTTAAAGTAAATTTGCATTTTGAAGAGTTGATTTAACTCGTGTGGCATGTTATCAATTTAACAATTCATATATGGTTGAAATTAGAGGTAACACTATAACCAAATTACTACAAATTTAAACAATAATTATAATTAAAATAAATTAGAAAATTCTTGTTCTTTTTAATGTTTTTTTTTCCACGATTAATGTTGTTGGGAGGAAAAAAAAAAATCAATCTTCCAAGCATTGTATAAATGACATGAAATTGAAAACCATCTAAAAGAAAATTTCGATATAATTCACTTGGACAAATAGGTATCACACAGCTACTTGGACAAGTATTATCTCTCTAAACAAAATAGGTATATAGAAAATAAAAAATAAAAAAGATATATTTTTTTGTAATTATACTCTTTCGAGTTTATTTCAATCATATTCTTTTTTCTCAAAAAGATGGGACATTATCGAAGTAAAAAATTACTTCGTTCTTGATAGTTATTACATAATCAGTGAATAGAAACATATTCCGAATCAAAGTCATCAAAGAATTGATATTTGATTTTAATAATCAAGAATATTATTCTCGGTGACAATCCACTCAAATTAACATTAGAGGTCCATCACAAGACTGTCAAGAACTCATTATTCTTGGCCACAAACCTTGATACTATAAAATGGATACAAGTACTCTTAAGTTGATAGTCAAAATATGTATTTCTTTATTTTTTGCATCACCAAAATAATTTTTATTTGCATTAGTTAGGTCAATAAATATGGCACGATTGAATGGAATTCAGCGTATCAAATATGACAAAAGTGATCGGTATATGCGTAACAAAAAATATAATTTGAAAAATGTTGAAAAAGTGCAATAGTTTAAAATATTGTAAACATAAAAACTTACATTAGTAGTCATTCTGTCTTCCTATCATAAAGTATCTAAAATTATATCTTTAATATTTTTAAAAAACAGTAAATTTTAATTTTGAGAAAAATAAAAGTATTTTTGACCTTGGAACCATATTGAATTTGGGCTAAGTTTTTGGTCCGTTTGGGCCTAAATAGTAAATTCCCATCCCGTCCAGCAAATCAGGTGGTGGCAAATAATCTGATATATTTCATATTTCTCAAGAACAGAGTATTTGCAGGGAATTGAAATTTTCTATTGAATGTTTGTTTTAAAGAGCTCGAGCTGTGTTATCCGTAAGTATTTGTAACTCATAATTTTTGCTCTCAGATTTCTCTTTTCTCCGTTAATTTTGTGTTTCTACCGTTGATTAACATTTCGGAAGCAAGCTGCCAAATCTTAATTTTCTTTTTTAATAGTGTTCAAAACTTTTACTCGTTTTCTACCAAGGATAAATATTTAGTCTGTTTTTTTATTTTGTAATTTTCATTCTCTTTCTGAACGTTTGATTGTTCAATTTAGTTTAATAAAAGTATTGTTTGTTTGTTTGATTTTTTTTCCCTCAGGATGCTTAGTTTGAGATTCTATCCCGCAATTTTCACTGAAAAATTGGAATCAATTGAATTCTTCAGGACCAGTAATCGGAATATTGTGGTAAGCCTTTTATGTTCACGAAGCAAATTTTATTTTCTCTTTTATCATTTTCCCTAACAAGTTAGGAAACTTATGGGTCTTAATCCCAAAATTCAATGTGAATAGTATGGTGTTTTAATATTTTTTCATTGGAGTAATTTGGTAATTTAAGAAGTTGATTCACTTGTATTTCTTGTTCTTTAAGATTTTCTGGAATCTCGAGTGGTTTTCAAAGAAGATGCAGTTGTTCAGAAACCACTATTAGGCAAACGAGTTTCGCTTTCAGAAGAAGTTTCAGATTACTAGCATCCGAACAAATAAATTCTGTTACTTTGGCATCTTTAGAATTGGAGCCGGATTTGATTTGAATTCTCTCTTGTGAGATTCAGACCCAAGACGGAAAAAAAAATGAAATTTTTTTTCTCCTGCTTTGGGGGAAAGTCCTTTTTATCTGCTTCTTGGGGTACAAATTTAGTATTAGTGGTTAGATGTGGGGTAGGACCAATTTTAAGAACCTTACTAGAAGGATTAATTTCTGAGGACAAGGAAGCCACGAGATATATTATTCAAAATGATTCAGATTTTTTTTGGGATAATTATTGTAAAGAACCATGAAAGTTAACCAGTTTACTGTTTTCAATTAAAAGGGGTATTGCTGATGATTCTTGATACAAAAAAATGGAGAAAAATGATACTCTGGAATTGGGATGAAAAGTGTGGTAAGATTTAGGGAACTCTTAGGATTAATTTATGGGGGTAGATGAGGACTGTTAATGATACTGTTTAGAAAACATGTAGATTAAGTAAGAAAGTAAATGGACCATAAGAAGGAAAGCTCCAATATTAGTCACTGGTGTGGGATTAAGAAATTGGAGAATTGCATTAGATAAGGCAGAAATAAACAGAAAGAAGGGCAAAGAGATTTCAAGGAGGAAGAAAATATCTAAAGATTAATTGGACATCAACAAGGACCCAATCTCTGCTTAGGGTGATTAGCATAAAGTATTTGCTCTTTGGCGCATTCTGATTTCTCCATTGTAGTATTCTTTTAAGGTTCCCACCTGGACTTTTTAGTTTCGTAATTTGATATAAAGTACATATCTATTAAATCATCTCCTCAGCCTCCTATCCCCTTCCTTACATATGTGCTTATGTGCATGTTATTTTCCCTTTATTTTCATTTTTGAAGTTTTCTCAGGTATGTGCTGCTAAAGGTCCTAGACCAAGGTATCCACGGGTGTGGAAAACCAATAAAAAGATGGGAACCATTTCTAAGTCCTTGAAGCTTGTTGAATGTGTAAGTCCATTTCCTTGTTAACTTTTGGTCTGCAGTGGAAACAAGTATCTGATTTATCAAGTGTTGATATTGTGTTTGTGGCTTTATTATGCCGTTTCTTCTGTTTTGCAATCATTTCCTTGTGAGAAGCACTTAATGGTAAGAAATAATAACCATCCTGTTGGGGCATTATTTGTAGATTAAAGGATTATCAAATGTTAAAGAGGAAGTGTATGGAGCGCTTGATTCTTTCATTGCATGGGAAGTAGAATTTCCATTAATTTCAGTGAAGAAAGCTTTAAAAACCCTTGAGAATGAAAAAGAGTGGAAGAGGATAATTCAGGTATACTTCTGATAGTATTCTTCTCTGTGGCTGGGAAATCTAATAGGCACGAGTGTGATTTAAACTACAAATTTTAGTACAGGTGACAAAGTGGATGTTGAGCAAAGGTCAAGGGAAAACAATGGGAAGCTATTTCAGTTTGCTAAATGCTTTGGCAGAGGATGGAAGGCTCGACGAAGCTGAAGAGCTGTGGAAGAAGTTATTTTCACAGAATTTGGAAAGCATGCCTCGTATTTTCTTTGAAAAAATGATTTCAATTTATTATCACAGGGAAATGCATGAAAAGATGTTTGAGGTATTCTTCATCTCTTTTGCCTCATCCATCAGTAAATAGATTTTTATTTCTTGTCTGGTTCTAAGTTGTGCAGAACTTTCTGCTTTCTCTCTGATGTCATTACCAGCTGCTCTTTAAATCATTCTACTAGATGGGAAGTATATTATTAAGCACATTGCACCACTCCTCTGTGTAGATATGTAGGCGAATTGGTTACGCCTTCTAGAGAGTCAATTGCATTTAGCATAATACTAGTGCGTCAGCATCAGTACACCTATTTTTGAACAAGGCGACTAGCACTCCATCACATTCCGTAATATCACCCCTAATTTTAATATGCAATGGAAATACTATTATCAGGTGAACCTGTGCATCACAAACTCAAGGATTGTAGAATTTTAAGTAGTGTTGAATCTGTCACCCCATTCGTAAATGTTGGAGAAATTAATAGACGATATTGGTGCTCGGAAAAAAGTTTCAATTTTCATGTAGCCGACTCCAAATTTATCAAGAATAGGGCATAGTTTTTTATTGTAGTAGCATTATCAGAATCATAAACGCATCTTCATTGTAGGTGCTCTTTTATTCCCCACGTTTTCACCATTTAGTGCAATTTGAAGTTCATAGATGTCTTATTTTGTAAGAGCTTTAAATTTTACTGTCAAATTTTGCTGAATATAGCGATTATTGAAATTATTTACAGACATTTGCTGACATGGAGGAGCTTGGCATCCGACCGACAATGTCGATTGTTTCAATGGTTGGAGATGTATTTGAGAAGCTGGGTATGCTGGACAAATGCCGAAAACTAAAGAGGAAATATCCACCGCCAAAATGGGAATATCGATACTTTAAAGGTAAGCGCGTTAAAGTTAGAGCCAAGTATCTTGAAGAAACTGGCGGGAATACAGATTTAAATAAGGCCAATAAGGAAGCTGAAGTTAATTCATCCGAATCACATGAGGATGCAGAAGTTATTTCTCACGAACTCTCTGATGAAAGCAGCCATTTTAATGTTGCTGAAGTATATTCCACCGTACCTTTTGAAAATGTCGACTCCAAATCCGAATGAAGCTCTTGTATGTTATCCTTTAGTTTACTCACTGTTTTCGTCATTTCTTCTTAAGTACTCGAATATGGGTGATCAAATGAGAAATCTAAATGCAAAGATTAGGTGACGAAATTTACCCTGATACAAGTGCACGTGTGAAGAAAATTTGATGGAATATTTGACGGTTTCGTTAAGTAGGGTTCAAAATGCACTTAAAATACATGTTTGGGATCTGAAAATAAAATTAAAATAGAATGGGGACTCGGGTGCTTCAAGTGGCAAGGTTTGATGATCACAGCTGCATATGTTTTACCAGTAAAATTAGGGAAAAATTGCAGTAGCGGTCCCTAGCCTTTTTAATTTTTGTAGACTTTACTTTAACCTTTAATTTGTGCCAACGAAGGTCCCTAACATTTTATAAATATGCAATAGAGGTTCAAATGGATTGATCGTTAGTTTACCAAAAAAAAGTCAAAATTTGATTGATTTTGACCAAATTAAAAAGGACAAAATGGTAACTACATATTATTTCTAAAATAAGTTAAAAATTAAGTGGGTGTTTGGTGGGAATTAAAATTAGATTTTTAGTAAATTATGATAGAAGTTTTTGAAATGTGTGGTTGAAAAGCCGTGAGACTCATGAAAGATGTGGTTGATATTGATTGTTTGACTTTGACTTAGATTAAAATCTGATTTTAATCAGAAACAAAAATGACCTAAATTAGAAAATAAAAATCCTCATCTTCCACCCATCCCAAACCAAATAAAACAACAGCCACTGTAGGCTACCTAATCTGAAACTAGGAAAAACACCAGCCACAGTTGGCCATCCAATTCGCCAGAATTTCATCCCCTAACCGGCGACCTCATTTCACAAATGCATCTCACACAATTAACTGGACAAACATCATATGGAGATCAAAATCAGCCCTTAAAACCATGGGAGTTGCGCGGTCCAACCACAAAATTCGATGACTCCGGTAATACCCAAGGTTGTGCACCACTATTAACAGATCTGCCTCCCCTAAGTGCTCCAATTCATGGTGAGACATCATCCAAAACAGCTCCGATTGATACAGATCTACCTCGGGAGCTAAAAAGAGGCAGTCTCATCTCCTTTAATTAATGAATTTGGAGCTCTTTTTCTACCCAATTGGTAACCCACAATCCTTCAGCAACATCGAACGATGATGGGTATACCCTTGATCAGAGCCGGACTTGAGGGTAGGCCCAAGAGGCAGCTGCCTCAGGCCCAGGATATCTGAGGGCCCATTTTCTTTGGGCTTTTTTTTTTTAATTTATATGATAAAAATTAAAAGGTCAGAACACAGCCTGCACCTGCACTCCCCGTTTCTCCATTTCCGTGCGCCGTTTCCTCCCCGCCTCCACCGTGGCTCCGCCCGTCCGACAGTCAGCTCGAGCCTCTGCCAGTTCGTCGTGAATCGTGAGGGAGAAATAGAAAGAAAATATTGCTCTGAACTGAACTATTACGGCATTACCAAACCAGTCAACCTCGTCCTGTGACTCCTGTCGTCTTGTCTTCTCCGTCCGGCGTCCAGCGTGACAGGGTCCTCTCCGAGTCTCCGTCTCCGGGCCCTTGATTATTGAGTAAGAATTAGGTTTTATTGTATTTTTTACATAGCCAGATGTTGAGTCATTTAGAGTCCGAGTCGAGAGACACATTCACGGACTCACGGTGATTTGATTTCTTCAGTTCTTCTCCTCGAATCTCAAATTCTCGATTAACCATTGAATTTGATTTAATCATTTTAATCTTTGATTTACAGAACTACAGAAGGTCTGAGACTCTGAATGTGCCACTTCAAACCGGTTTACTTTATTTTGTTGATGAGTATCCGGCCGTTCGAGTATGTTTCTAACTTTCTCAATTCCAGAGACCAGAGATTCTTGTTGTTGTTTCCAACTTTAATAGTTTACTGTATGTTTTTTTGTGATTGAGAATTTGAGTATGGATATTGGATGATGGATGTATGATTAACTGATTACGGATGATAGGGGTTGAACCGTTGAAGTTTGAAATGGGATTTTATTAATTGAATATGTGATAATGTGATTGAATATGTGTTATTACTTATCTGGATTTGGTGTAATTAAGTGTGAATTTGAATTGGGATTTTGTAAGCTCATGTTAATTGTTATGTTCAATTTTTCAGTAATTGTTAGCTGTTAAGTGATTTGAGAGAAATACCATGGCTCCTAAATATGCATCTGGAGCTCAAAAAAAAGAAGAAGAGAGAAAGAGTATAGGCATTAATTCGAAGTCAGACTAGAGATATTGATAAATATTTTAATAACAAGAAAAGAAAAGAGAATGAAGATTTTGAGGAACAACAGAATCAGAATGATAATGATAATAATAATGTGGATGGACGGAAAGAGAACGAGGAAATGATTGAACCTGCCAATGTGGATGAACCAAAGCAGAATGATGAAAATAATGTTCAAGATGAAGATTTAAATCAAGCGAATTGCTTTACTTTGAATTTTGAGGATCCTGGAAATTGGAAGGATGTTTATATTGATAAAAAAAAAAGGCATTTTTTAGTTGAAATGGGTCCAAAAAAAGTTGATGATATCTTATTTCCCAAAGATAGTCAAGGTAGACATTTTGAATCATCACAATATAAGCGAGTACTTGCAAATGGGCAGACAACCGATAGAAGATGGTTAGTGTATTCGATTTCTTTAGATAAGATCTTTTGTTTTTGCTGTAAACTATTTAAGACAGAAAAAATGATGAAAAATATTGGTCAATTGGGTAATGACGGATACAAAGATTGGCATAATGTGTATCGACGCCTTACAACTCATGAAGTATCTAAGGAGCATATAAGTTGCATGACTAGTTGGATGGAACTAGAAAATAGGCTTCAAACAAAACATGTAATTGATGAAAGTGTACAATTGGCCATCAACAAAGAAAGAGAGCATTGGAAACAAGTGTTAACGAGGATAATTTCTATTGTGAAAAGGCTTGCTAAAAATACTTTGACATTTCGAGGAGATTGTGGGCAACTTTATGTTGAGAACAATGGACTTTTTTTGCAAATGATAGAAATGGTTGCTGAGTTTGATCCAATAATGAAAGAACACATTCGACGTGCTCAAGCACGCGAGATTCAGTATACATACCTTGGTCCTAAAATTCAAAATGAATTGATACAAACTTTGGCAAGCGAGGTCAAAAGTGCAATTATCACAAAAGTGAAACTTGCAAAATATTTTTCTGTCATACTTGATTGTACTCCAGATGCGAGTAATGAGGAGCAAATGTCTCTAGTAATACGATGCGTGGACGATGCAACAAACTCGTCGATGGTACAAGAATATTGGATTGAATTTTTGAAGGTGGATGATACATCAGGACTTGGTCTTTTCAATGAGCTTAAAAATGTGTTAACGAATCTTGAGCTTGATATTGATAATATAAGAGGTCAAGGGTATGACAATGGAGCTAACATGAGCGGGAGACATAGAGGTGTACAAAAAAGGTTACTTGAAATTAATCCTAGAGCTTTCTATACTCCATATGGTTGTCATAGTCTTAATCTAGCAATATGTGATATGGCAAGTTGTTGTTCTAAAGCTCTGTCTTTCTTTGGAGTGATACAACATATCTACACATTGTTCTCTTCTTCTCCCAAACGATGGAAAATTTTTAAAGATAAAGTTGAAGGTCTTACACTTAAGCCATTGTCACAAATACGTTAGGAAAGTCATGTGGAAAGTGTTAAGCCGATAAAGGAGCAATGTGTACGAATAAGAGACGCTTTACTTGACTTGGCAAACATTACTGAAGATGCTAAGACGAAGAGTGAAGCTGAATCCTTAGCAACATATGAACTTGAGAATTTTGAGTTCTTGCTTGGCATGGTCATTTGGTATAAGTTGTTGTATGCTATCAATACCGTGAGTAAATTTTTTCAAGCTGAAAACATGGATATTGATGAAGCCATCAAGCTTTTACAAGCGCTTATTTTGTTTCTCGAAAATTATAGAGAATTTGGATTTGCTAGTGCCATGGATGAAGCTAAACAAATGGCAACTGAAATGGGCATTGAAGCTGTTTTTCGAGAGAAACGTAGCATTCGAAGAAAGAGGCATTTTGATGAAAGTGGTAGTGAAGAGGTAACACAATCGGCTGAAGAATCTTTTCGAGTTGATTATTTTCTCTTTATAATTGATCAAGCTCGATCTTCACTTCAAACTCGCTTTGAACAATTTAAACATTATGAAGAGACATTTGGATTCTTGTTTAATTTGGAGAGGTTAAAAAGTATGCATTTTGATAGTTTGTTGAAATCTTGTAAGAATCTTGAGCAATATCTGAACCATAATGGACATTCAAACATTATTGGTGATGACTTCTGTACGGAATTGTTAGTTTTGAAGTGCTATTTACCTGAAGAAACAAAAAGAGCTATTGACGTGCTAAATTACTTGAAGAAAATGGATGGTTATTTTCCAAATGCTAGCATTGCTTACAAGATTTTGCTCACTATACCAGTTACAGTTGCATCAGCAGAAAGAAGCTTCTCCAAGTTGAAATTGATCAAGACTTATCTTCGTTCAACTATGTCGCAAGAAAGATTGAATGGATTGGCCATGTTATCCATTGAAAAAGAAATGGTTGAACAACTCGACTATACAAAATTGATTGATATTTTTGCCTCGAAAACTGCAAGACGAGTTATATTTAAGTGATCAATTAGAACATCTTCGTATTGTTACTTGATTGCAAAATAAATATTTTGAATATTTTAGTTTTATTTGTTGCTTTATTGTTGAATTTAAGTTAACAAATTTAGTTCCGTAATACTCTTTTAAAAGAAAAAGGGGATTATTTTTTATGACTTGGGGGCCCAAATTTTAAAGTTCGCCTCAGGCTCTGCGAAACACAGGTACGGCCCTGCCCTTGATTGATCCAATTATGTCACAAATTGCTCCAAATTTGGCTTCAAAATTTACCCAATTCCACACGCAAATGAAGTTCTAGTTTCTTCAATTTCTGTTGGGTTTGATTTGATTTCTGGTTTTGATATTTGGGTGATGGCTAATGCCTTTGGGAGGCGGTGCCGGTGTTGTGGGTGGCGATCGACCTTTGTGTCCACTACACCTGGGAGTGGGAAAAGAAGGCGCCAACCACATGCCTTTCTAATTTTCATGAGAATAGGGTGGGGTGGGGTGGGTAGATTTCTTTTATTTCTTTCGTTTTTTTTATTCAAGTTTATGTAAAACACATGTAAAATTACTATTTTGTCATTTTAAAATTAGTCAAAATTGTGGTCAATGTCAAATTTTTGGTAAATTAACAGTCAAATTCATTTAGACCTCTACTGCATATTTATGAAAAGTCAGGAACATTCGCTGTCACAAATTCAAGGTTAGGATAAAATTTGCAAAAATTGAAAAAGTTAGAAATCGCTGCTGCAATTTTTCCTAAAATTACGGACTCATTCAACCGTGTTAATATCTTCTATTCCAATTTTTACACAATCATAATTTCTGTTGGAAGTCAATATTTTTCCAAATGAAAATGAAGAAGGAACGCTGACCACTAGTGCTCTTTGTTAAAACTTTGTTAAACACGCATTCAGAAGGCAACACTCCTATCCATAAGAAAACTAGAAATAAAAAAGTTTAATTCAAAATAATAAACGCAAGACCAATAGTCATTACGATGTTAGATGAAACTTAGTGCTTTTTAGAGTTTCACGAGTAATTAATCCTACAAAATGTGTGTAATAATTATGAATATGTAATTAAAAGTAATGTTTGGCATTCGCTTTAAATTATAAGGAAATCTTAATTAAACCTAGTTGAAGAGGTAAAAGCTCAAGTACGAGAGTGCATTTTCTCAAATACTTCAAACTATTTTTACCTTTCGTAACAATTTTGTTCCCATTCAAATTTTTTCATTCCTTCCGTTTCCAACATTTTATTTTTATTCACACATTCCATTGACAATTTTCAATCATTTTTACTGTTGAACATCACATTAAAAGAAGTTTTACCCTCTAATTTAAATAAACTAAAAATGCAAAAAGAAAAATAATCAATAGACAAAAAAAAAAAAAACACGTGAAAATTCATTAATCTTCCACCTCAATCCACCTCCATCAAACACAATCCCATCACGTTCTGCCGTCGTCGCCACTAAGTCCCTGTTTGAGCCATATTAAAATTTATATTCTCATTCTTTTACTCATTTTCAACTACACATTATTCAATAAAATAATATTTTCATCGCATCAATAATTTTTTCTTCTTTTTCAATCACACATTCTCCATCAATCCACTATTTTAAAATACATTTTTCCAAAATAATGTGCTCAAACACATTAAAATACAATTATCTTCTTCTTCATCCCAACCCCACCCCACCCCACCCCACCCCACCCAAACCTCCACCACCTCCCACCGTTGCCTAACTCTCCACCACCCACAACTACAATTCCACAAAACAAATATTTATTTTTTCTTTTTCAGTTTATTCAGGTTAGAGGGTAAAACTTCTTTTTACGTAACATTAACGGCAAAAATGAATTGAAATCGTTAATAGGGATGATACGTGCTTATAAATGAAATGTTGGGACATGAGGATGAATAAAATTACAATTATGTTACAAAAACGTTGACATAATATCACTTGATATTTTTTCATTGGACTGTTTAAAACATAATTTATTTTTTATTCAATTATCTGCTGTCACTTATACTTCTGTCACTATATATGTCAAAATCCATTTGACAAAGTAGCATAATTATAATAATTGTATTACACAAACATCGAGTTTCTATCCAAGTTTTTATGGGGGATACGTGTTAACACATGATTGAATAGTTTGAAAAAAATAAAAACGCAATACCCAATTATTATCTGTCACATCATCCTATCCCTCCATCTCTATCCTTGAGTCCGTCCAATGAACATTATTCTAATCATAAAAACTAAATGAGAATGAAATTAATACGAAATGGAAAGGTTGGGACTCAGAGTGAAATTTACACTAATATTACTGGATCTGCAGACTCACAAATGAAAAGAAGTCGAATTAAATTACATTTAGAATAAAACTGTGAGTACAAAAAATATTTAAAGAAATTTTAGGGGGATTTTAAATTTCTCTCTGCCCATGTGAATAAAAAATTAGCAAAATATGTGTAGTCTGTGAGTACAAATTCCCGTACTTATAGCATCACTTGCCCTTCCCAAATATCAATGTTTAACAACTCGAAACTAAATAGCAAAATCATTTTCCTCTTTGGAAAGCAGAATCAATATCAGTTTTCCTTTCACTTCTGTAGCTAAAGAAATGTCTGTTGACGCCAAGAGAGATTCTGCCGGTAAATGATCGCAATCAGTTTGATTTTTCAACTAGTATTTAGTTTATCTGATTAGTTTTAGCTTTTAATCTCTGAATTTCTTTTATAGTAATTTTATCACTAATCCCGCATTCAGTTCAATTCACGGAAAATGTCAAACACCCAATCGAATGTTTGTATTGTAAGCTCGCAGTTCATTATCATTCAGTTATGAATGAATTCTAAGTCATTGTATTATGTCAAGTAAAAGTTGAAATCATTGTGAACTAAATTGTATAGAAAGTTTGGGTCGCGGGTTTGCACTGAAGTAATATGAACTTATCAATGAAAAGTATTAAGGGTTTTCAGTACTGCTGTCTATTAGTCCAACATTGGCATCGACGTCATTAAAAATTGTATTCTTTCACTGTGGCACTGTGTATAATTTGCATTTGCTACATTCTATATTGAACTAATTTAGTGAAGTGTGTAAAGATGTGGATGCGGTGCCTTCTGTTTTTCTGTCTTCAAAGCCTGAATTTGAATAATTGGACCAAAACATTTCGTGCTTCTGGTTTTTGGGGTCAGTTTTGATGAACAACAGGGATGATATTGTTAGTTTATTTCTGTTTCTCTATATTTAAAGCTTAAGGTTGCTATTGGATCTAGGAATTTGAAGGGTGAAGGGAAAAAGGAAAAAAAGAAACCTGATTTTGCTTCCTTCTCTCTCCAATTTTAAAAAAATCAAATGTAAATCGTTTTCCCAAAAAAATAAATATGGAATTTTACCACTAATTATGTTAGTAATTTGATTACTTTGTACCTTTTGCAATTCAGGAGAAAGCTTTCGCATAGTTGTTTTCCATAATTTTCTCCAAAACAGAGCCTAAACGAAATTTTGACGATTAGCCACATACTCTATCATGTCTATGACACAAATTTATTTAGCTTCTTTACTATTTTAGGGCCATTGGTTGCGTTATCACTTGTAATGTATGAATGAAATAACTTGCGAAAACCAATACAAAACGTTAGAAGGAAAGAGACTAGATCCTCTGAGAAATAGCATTTAGATTATTCCTATGTGATGTGTATTATGTAATAAAATCCCATATCGAATAAAGATGAAAACATAAACTAACTTATAAGGTTTGGAGCTACTCATCTTAATGAAGTTGACATTTTAAGATGGAAGCCCAAGTCTTAATGTGATATTAGAGCTTGTTAAGCTAAAACGAACAATTCGACCCGATTAAGACTTAAAAAAATTGGGCGTACGGATTCAGGATTGGTCTGCTCAAATGAGTCAACTTATAAATGTTTTAAGCTACTCCTCTAAATAAGGTTGACCCTCTAACATGGACCTCAAATCTTATATCTTGTCAATCTTATTAAGAGGAGTAACTCCAAAATCTTATAAGTTGGTCTATATTTTCATCTTTGTTCGATGTGGAATTTTATCCATTAACATACCCCCGCAAAATAGTAGCTTATTTGAGCAGACCAATCTTGAAATCTGCATGTTCATTTTTTGAGTTTTAATCGGACCGAATTGCTCGTTGGAGCTTAACAGGCTCCGATATCATGTTAAGACTTGATGTTTCATTTTAAAAGATCAACCTTATTTAGAGGAGTAGCTCCAAAACCTTATAAGTTGGTCTATGTTTTCATCTTTATTCGATATGAGATTTTATCCCTTAACATTATGTATTGTCATTTACCATAATTATCCTACTTCATTCTTTCTTTCTTTTCTTTCCGTTTTAATCAGCTACTTTTTCTTTGAATAAATGATCTTGAAGCAGATACACTGAGGTACAACATCAGTTCCCAAGACAAGGCAAACATGAATGTTTCATCATTGAGCACACAACAGAAGCCGTTTGATTTTTTGCGCCTGTTATATGGTATGCTATAATATTACTCTTAACTCATATTTAAGCCATATGTTAAAACTATTGTTTTCAAGTGCTCTAAATAAACTTTACTGCTTCTATGCTTGTCTGCCAAAAGAGTGCAAATGACATCATAAAAGAAGGCAATACATTTTCTTCTACTCTGATAACAGGGTCTAATGAATATCTATGCGACCATTTTTCACTAGCTAACATTGATACAAAAAGAGATAAGATATAGAAAAATACGACGAAACTCGAAGGGCTTATGTGAACAAGAAACTGTTCTTTCAATAAATAACTGATCACCGGCCTTTGGCATTTAACTTTGCAGTTCATTAACTCATTTCAAAATGATTAAAAAGGAAACTGAAGACCAGAAAATATTAGGAAAAGTATAGAAGTAGCTATAGATATAAAACTGCTGCCATGCTACCTACTTTAGCAGATTTTGAAAATGCCATGTATTTGGTAGGCCTAGATGGCCATGTTGGAGTTCCATTCTCTTTGTGATTTGAGATTTTCTAGATAGAGGGATATATGTATTTAGGAAGGGGTGCTGGGGTGAGTATGAAACAATAAGGAACTACAGTTACTGCACATATATTCTAGGAATGCTCTCAGAGAACATGCATTACTACCAAGTAAATGCTGTTGGTTTAACATCACCTATACCGATCAACATACTATTCACAAACATAAATATCATCATATTTAAATAATAAATTATGTTCGAGATGGCTTTTTGGTTAGCCTACATCTCTTTCCCTCTTTATGTTTAGTGATAATGTTTAACTGGACTCGTCATGGCCTGACCGACCACGAGTATAATAACTTGCACAACATATTATACAGCCTTCAGAATTGTTCGCATTGGCTGTTTGCTTTCCCATTAGCTAAAGTGTGAATTATAGCAAGTTTTGTGCATAGAGTTTGTTTAAAGTGCTTTGGGAAACCCCTGGCATCTTTAGAAGATATATCCTTATATACTATACCCTAATTCAAGACATATTTTGTTTGTTGCATATATAATTATTGGACTCTTGAAGGCTGAAATATATTGCTGATGCCACTTTCTGATATTATATCTGCTCATTGCTCACATTAATTAATGCTTTGAAACTGAATAAATGAGTTACACCTTATACAAGGAGAATACAAGCAACATATCTTTGTCTCCATGACTTGGAATTCTCACAACCCTTTCATACACTTTGTTTAAGTATAAATTTTGTTTTGCAAACCTAATTTAGAAACAAACCTTTGCCTTCCTCTGTCCTTTAAGATTTTGTTCTGGCTCTTGCAGAGGGTGCTGTAGCTGGAGCTGCTGCTGGTGTCGTGGTGGAAACTGTTTTATACCCAATTGATACAATTAAAACTCGACTTCAAGCAGGTTCTTTTCTGTGAAAGATTTATTTATTTTCATCTATGGTTTTCTGTTTCCATCTTGTAATCCTTGATAAATTATCGTGTATAACTTCTTTTCCACTTAGAAACAGACCTGCATACGATCCACTATAAAAGTTGTCATGGAATTTTGTTTATGTAACATCAAACTGCATCTTCTGAATCTTTGGCATTGTTATTTTTGAAACTTTTTCTATAGTTTGTTGCATTAGCACAGTATACAGCTTTCCCCTGTTGTATCAGCTATGGAATATTGATGAAGGTTTGAACTTTTAATTTGATGCTGCACTCAACAAAAGAATGTTATTTATATCCCGCAATAATGACTGCTCTAGCATTATTTGAACCTGCTTTCTTGATAATTAGCAATTACTATTTTATGAATTTATAGTGTTCATAGAGAACTGTTTCATGGTCCCTTGTTAGGCAGTTCGTGGCGGGGGAGAAATTATTTTGAAAGGTCTTTACTCTGGATTGGCTGGAAATCTTGTGGGTGTTTTACCGTAAGTTTTCTTAAATGTAAATATTGCTTCATGAACTTTGACACATATCGATTGATTTGTTAATTCTATACAGCTTGTCTGTTAGGTAAACTACACTGCCTGCTCACTGAGACTTGGTATGCTGTTGAGATTACATTCGATAGCTTACTTCACCATAAGATGCGAAATACATATAATGCAATTCAACAAGGCCTCTGACTTTGACTTTGTGCTTCATAATGCTTCCACAAATTAGCAACTCGAGATATTATTGAATTATTGCTTTGTCTTTTGTTTGCTCTATATGATACTAGTTGTTAAATATGTAGAAGAAAGATATCTAAACACCAATATAAGAATGAAGATAAAATTATAAAATCCTCTAAAAGCAGTGTTACCAGCGTAGTACAGGCTATTGCATTGTTCAATGGTATCTTTGTCTTCAAGAAGTCTAGGTCGTGATCTAGAATATGGGAGCATGGAGAGAAAGCACAGGCAATGGAGGAGTTGGACCACAAACAACCATTTAGAAATAATTTTTTAATGAAGAGCATTAAATTGGTGCACCACTAAAACAATAAGCAATAAAACATGTACGTTTATATATTTTAAAGTGGGATTAATTGCACTCGTTTAATTTTGCAAGAAAAAGTGGAGTACAACAATAAGATCTTGTTTGGGAGTTTGGTAGCGTTATTTCCCCAAAAAAGGAACAATTAACATGTTTATTCGGATTTTTGTGAATAAGTGCCTTTATATTTTATGACATGTAGCTCATATGGAAAATGGAAATAACTGCTATTGTTGTTTTCAGCACTATTCACTTTGTTATTTTCTGTTTAAATGATAAAAAAGAGGCTCATCATAATACCTTTTATATGGGAGGAAATAGTAGGGCGACCTAATTCACGTGTGAACTTCCTGAAATACCCCTATAATGTTTAAACTTCTGCACTTGAGGGGGAAAAATGTACAGCATAAGTAGGTTTCACACATCCAATTCTGAAAGTATAGTCCATATGTTGCATAATTGAATAAAACTTTCCTCTTTGAGATCATTTTCCTCGTTTGTTTTAATTTGCGTTTTTAGTGTTTTGAACTGAACACATTGGCAAAAAAAATCATGTTGCTGACTCCAAATTTATTGGTTATGGGGTTTAGTTTGTTGTCATGGGTAGTGGCACCGGCTATGTTCTAGAACTTTTTGAAAATTTAATTTAAAGTTTTGAAATGGTTGGCCTATGTAGTAAATCGAAGTAGTGTTCGGGTGGAATGTCTTGGAAATATGTCCACAGGGAATAAAGTTTATGGTGCACTTAAGTTATCTGTTGAAAGTAATTAGAATACTAGCCAACACATACTCTGATAGTATCAGAATTATATTACTGCACTAGGAAAATCATAAAGAGTAACTAGAATTTAATTTTTGTGGTTACATCCAGAAGCAATGTTTCTATTTTACTTCTTCCAGAAACTGAAGATAGAAAGAACTTTCAATCTAATCTAGTTGAACTTTAATTGTTTGCAGGGCATCGGCAATATTTGTTGGTGTATATGAACCTGCCAAGCAGAAGTTGCTGAAGAGCCTTCCTGAGAATTTCTCTGCCTTAGCTCACCTGGTAAATGATGCAGATACACAATTTTTCTTGTTGTCACTTGTCTTTGGAAGCATGAAATCTCTGTCTTGGAGGTTGGCTAGAAGATGCTAATTAGTTCTATGGCTATCATCCTAGCAGAATAATCTTTATTTGAATTTTAGCTTGTTCTACTCCATCCTTCTATATGGCAAGGTTCACTTGGCATTAAGTTGCTTGAATTGTTTAGTTGTTACATTGAACTCCTAAGTTGATAATCTGGCTATAAGCTCCTACTACTTAACTCCAGTTTAACAATATTTGTCGTCGTCGCTGTTGTAATTTTAAAAGGTTTTGTACTTCACTTAGACTGCAGGTGCTATTGGAGGGGCTGCTTCTTCCATAGTTCGTGTTCCTACTGAAGTAATTACCATTGTTTCCTTAATTTTATCTTTTTACGTTATTCCTTGAGCTCATGATGAATATCCCTCACAGGTTGTTAAGCAAAGGATGCAGACCGGACAATTTGCCTCTGCCCCCGATGCTGTTCGTATTATCGTTGCTAAGGAGGGTATTAGAGGCCTTTATGCAGTATGCAGTGCTACCTCCTTTAACCAATTTATCAAGGCTAAATCTTTTCTTCTAAGAGGCCATCATACTTAATGCTTGAGTCCTCTTCGAAGAAATGCATAGATAGCATATTGTGGACTCATCTGGTCAACTTGAAGTTCTTAAGTTTATTTCTATCTTTTGAAAGGTTTTATATAATGTTTTCTTTACTTTTTTACTTGAAATCATAGGGATATGGATCCTTCCTATTGCGAGACTTGCCCTTCGATGCAATTCAGTTCTGCATATATGAGCAGATTCGAATTGGCTATAGACTAGCAGTAAGTTGGTTATCACTGAAAGAACATGTTAAATTTTTCTCCATTACTGTGTTTCATTGCAAAGGCTTTTCTTGTTCATTCCCTTCGCTCAAGAGATTTTTCATAATTAATAATTAATTAAAGCATACACCAAAGCTACATATAGATATATTGTGAAACAAAGGTCCAGTAATAGTACAAGTTACATTTTTTAACCTTAAAAATGAAGGTAGCAAGTTAAGTGTTATTTTTCTTTGATTAGTCAACGAGGCAATGAAAGATGAATTACCGCTATTGTTGTGCCCCAAAAGTGGAAAACCACTCGTTATTTTTATGTGCATGAGGATTATGCTGCTCAGCGCAAACAAGTAGAGCTCAGCTGAGCAGATCTGTATACTTGGAAAATTTCTGTGCTCAAGAAATATAGGGGATCGAGCTTAAGCTTGGTTCAAGTATAAAATAATGAAGTTTGGTTGCATCTGAGGACTGAATCTTGGGTTTCTACCAAACACAAATTAAAAAAATTGAATTTACTGATTATATTTGTAGAAATGATGAAATATTTGACTTAGAAACACTTCATTTGATTTTGTAATTAGCAACTGATTAAAGCAGTGTGCTGGGTTACATCACTATGAGCCAACTCTCTCGAGCTCAAGCTTGGCTTAACTGAGTATTCTAGCTAGTCTAAACAAAGTTTGAAATACTTGCAAGCTGGCAGGCTTGCTTGAACCCCATCTATGCATTTCTCTGCTCTGGTGCTTGCATCCCATGATTCTCTCACACGCGGATACTATAAGTTTGAAATTTTGCACCTACAGTATAATGGACAATCAAAGAAATTGTATTGCAAAAAAACTGAAAAAACCTTATGAACACTTTTGTTGTTTCATGCGTTAGATATATTTTTTAGATTTTGCAGTAAAAGTCTACTAACGTTTATGCTGCAGGCAAGAAGGGATTTGAGTGACCCTGAAAATGCAATGATTGGTGCTTTTGCAGGTAAATAGCTTCTTGATGATTTTCAAATTCATATAAATTTCTTGTCCTTACCTTTTCTATTATGGTTTCACATGACTGATGATTGATGCTGTAAAATGTAAGTGGCTGTTGAAGTCTGCTGCAGTTAAGAGATCTATGCTTGTTAGATAACGAGTGAATATTATATGCCTTTACGATTTTAAAGAACAGAACAAGTGTTCTTATTATTGTGGTTCACTGATTATTGCTGTGGTAGCTAATTTCAGATACATAATGCTGCAAAACTGTGTGGAGAAACTGCACTCTTCTCTCCACTTGTCATATAAACCATAATTTGTCAGAAAATGTATTAAACCAAGTTCTACTTGTAGGTGCTATCACTGGCGCTATAACAACTCCTCTTGATGTGATAAAAACTCGATTGATGGTTCAGGTGCAGTTGATATGGAGTTCATTCCTATCTTTGCTGCATAATATGTTAAGACATCTTCTGTATTGTCCATCCTTTTGACCTGCAGGGATCAGCAACGCAGTACAAGGGTATTTTCCATTGTGTTAGTACTATCACAAGAGAAGAAGGCTCCTCTGCATTTTTTAAGGTTTACCCTTTCTGTTCTACATATTGTGCTTCACAAGTCTGATTCTTCTAAAATGATTAGTCAATTTTAAAATTATTCCACTTTATTTCTTCATCAGTACAGATAAGGCTGCTTGGAACTTCCTCATTTTGTTTATATGACAAAGCCTTAAACTTGACAAATATTTGGCATGACTGTTCATCTATTCATTTTCTTTATCCATATCAACAAAACTGCTCAGCTATTATAGTCCTAGTTTCTTTTCCCTGGAATTTCTGTAAAAACTCAAAATCATTATCAGATCATGCGATCTTCATAATATGTATGGTTATTCAGAAGAACATCCTGACAGTTGAAGTAACTATCGTGTACACATGAATAAATAAATGTTCGTGATTTCTGATACTTTGTTAGGCTTATATCCAACTCCATGAAATCTGATCGTTTTAGACTGTTGTGTTGCAGTGAATGGGACCAAGAGTATTATGGATAGGTATCGGTAGTTCTATATTCTTTGGTGATCTTGAGAGAACAAAGCTACTGCTCGCCCAGAAGCGACGTTTTAGACTGTTGTGTTGCAGGGTATGGGGCCAAGAGTATTATGGATAGGTATCGGTGGTTCTATATTCTTTGGTGTTCTTGAGAGAACAAAGCTACTGCTCGCCCAGAAGCGTCCTCTTGAACGAGGTTCCAATTCTTTGAAGCCGGTGTAACTTCAGACATATCTATTCAATGGTATATCAACTCTAAAAACTAAATCATTGGCAAGAAACCATTCCAAGAACAATGATTATTTCGAGTTGGATCTCTTCATTTTAATTGTAATTTTTTTTTCCGCATAACAAAATGCTTCTAACATTTATGTGGCAGGCATCTACCAGTGATTAATAGGGCGTAAGAGTTAACTGTCTTCTGATTTTATTGTGATTGTGTTCAAGCATTTTAATAACTAGCTATGTCCTGTTAAGACTTATTTTCTAAAACATCAAAAGTCAATTACAGGATTTTTTTAGGAGGGTTTGTTTTTTAGCTCTCTATTACAAGAAGATAAATTCACCTAACAAGAAAAATGTAATAATTAGCCATAACTGAGAATGTTAGGTGCTAGGCATGAGAAAATAAGGTTGATTACGTACGTACATATGTACAACTATGAGAAAATAAGGTTGAGTGCGTAAGTGCATATGTACAACTATGCTAATTTTGAAATATACAACAATTTTGAAACAAAAGTTTGTCAAAGTACTTAATTGATTTTTCCCACAATCGATTCTTTCTTCAATGCAGCAAAAATTGATTATTTTAAAAGCACATCTTAGAGACAAGACGTGCTAATCAATAGAAGGTTGGAGATAAAAATGTGATGAAATAAGTTGGGGACATAAATGTTATAATGAACAAATATTGAGAACTTGACGTGTAATTAAAATATGTTGCAATCAATTATAATTGTGACGTGATTTATTATATTACGGGTGTTTCATAAGAGGGTTAAATTCACAGCTGATCATCCAACTTTATACTTAGTGTCACAATGGTCATCCAATTTATTTTTGTTTTACTATAATCATCTCAACTTTATATTTAATGTCAACATAGCCATCCAATTTGATTTTATTCCACTACGACCACCCAATTTCATATAACATTTTACCATTGTCATCTAATTTTATATAACATTTCACCATAGCTATCCAATTTCTTTTCACTGTTTCATTAATTTTAAAAGCGGTAAAACGATAACTTTGTATTATAAATATAAAATAAATAAATAAAACAAAAATAAAAGTTCTTTTTAAAAATTTTAAAAACGTTTTTTTAAAATAATTATTTTTTTTATTAAGTAATTTTTTTAAAATAAGTTTTTATTTTATTTTATATTTTTAAGTACATTTTTTTAAAATAAATTTTTATTTTATTCTATTATATTTTTTTAAGTAACGTTTTTTAAAATAAGTTTTTAAATAATACTTGGATGAACTTGGAATGTTATTTATTTGTTATATGACTTATATCAAGGAAGAAAGTCAAGGAAGTATTATATAATTCAGGAATTATCAGTGGAATATTTCGGAAAAGGGAAAAAATTTCTTCCTAGACTGCATATTTTTGCCTATCATTCACGGAAGGGAGAAGGATTTGACATTGGATACGGTCATGTGTTTTGATCTCGCTATAACACTTATAAAGGAACTTTTCTTCCTACATTTTAATTTAAATCAAAGTTAACAATTATTTTTAACAACACATTTCACGTGACCCACAACTTTTCAACAACACATTTCATGCGACCCACAACTTTTCAACCACACATTTCATCATTTTTTATATCAAAATTAACTAAAAATATAAGTTTAATCCCTACTAATAGAGGCTAAAACTATTTCTTCATTCCTTATGTAATAATCAAGATAGTAACCAACCGTTTGAGACCCAATTTTTTGTCAAAAATGCATTTTGGAATAATGATTTGATGGAGAATATGTGGTTAAAAATAAAGAAAAATTTTGAATTTGCGTGTAATACTATTTTATTGAATAATATGTTGCTAAAAATGAGAAAAAAATGTATTTTAAAAAGAAAAATGCAACTTATACACACTTGGTACACAACCCTATCACATGTGTGTGGGGTCCACTACACACATGTGATAGGGTTGTGTACCAAGGTATATAAGTGTAGCAAAGTTCTTTTAAAAATAATGGATATCAAACCAGGCTTCTTTATTGGTGCTGAAGGATAATGAAGATTCAGAGTTTGTTTGGAAGGGATTTTTTGGGGAAAAATTGATTTTGAATAGTGATATGATGGGAAATGTGTGGTTGAAAAAGAAGAAAAAATTATTGATGTGATGGAAAATATTATTTTATTGAAGAATGTGTGGTTGAAAATGAGAATTAATTTACTGTAAAAAAAAAGCTTGCATGTGCACGAGTGGGCCCGGCATCCGTTGGCAACATTTTTTGGGGTCAACAATACTTAATGTCAACATAGTCATTCAATTTGATTTTATTTCATTACGATCACCCAATTTCATATAACATTTTACCATTGCCATCTAATTTTATATAACATTTCACCATAGCTATCCAATTTCTTTTCACTATTTTCACTAATTTAAGAGGGGTAAAACGGTAACTTTGTATTATAAATATGAAATAAATAAATAAAACACAAATAATTTTTTTAAAAAAAATTTAAAAAAAGTTTTTTTTAAAAATAATTTTTTATTTTATTTTATTTTTTAAGGAAGGTTTTTTTTTAAAAAAAACATTTTATTTTATTTTTCTAAGTAATTTTTTAAAAATAAGTTTTTATTTTATTCTATTTTATTTTTTAAGTAACTTTTTTTACATAAGTTTTTAAATAACACTTGGATGAACTTGGAATGTTATTTGTTATATGACTTATATCAAGGAAGTATTATATAATTCAGGAATTATCAGTGGAATATTTCGGAAAAGGGAAAAAATTTCTTCCTAGACTGCATATTTTTGCCTATCATTCACGGAAGACAGAGAGGAGGAGGATTTGAAATTGGATACGGTCATGCATTTTGATCTTGCTATAACAGTTATAATGAAACTTTTCTTCATACATTTTAATTTAAGTCAAAGTCAATAATTATTTTTAACTACACATTTCACGTGACCCACAACTTTTCAACCCCGCACATTTCATCATTTTTTATATCAAAATTAACTAAGAATATAACTTTAATCCTTACTAATAGAGGCTAAAACTATTTCTTCATTCCTTATGTAATAATCAAGATAGTAACCAACTGTTTGAGATCCAATTTTTTGTCAAAAATGCATTTTGGAATAATAATTTGATAGAGAATATGTGGTTAAAAATAAAGAAAAATTTTGAATTTGCGTTTAATATTATTTTATTGAATAATATGTTGCTAAAAATGAGAAAAAAATGTATTTTAAAAAGAAATATGCAACTTATACACACTTGGTACACAACCCTCTCACATGTGTGTGGGGTCCCCCACACACATGTGATAGGGTTGTGTACCAAGGTGTGTAAGTGTAGCAAAGTTCTTTTAAAAATAATGGATATCAAACCAGGCTTCTTTATTGGTGCTGAAGGATAATAATGAAGATTCAGAGCTTGTTTGAGAGAGATTTTTGGGAGAAGAATTTATTTTAAATAGTGATATGATGGGAAATTTGTGGTTGAAAAAGAATAAAAAATTATTGATGTGATCGAAAATATTATTTTATTGAAAAATTTGTGGTTGAAAATGAGAATTGATTTATTATAAAAAAATCAAAATCTCTCCCAAACATGACCTCATTTCAAGGACGTGATTTTCAACAAAGACATGCACGACTTTTGGCCATCTGGAATCTTGACCACGGATTCTTAGCATCTTATCACTCCAGTTGAAAAGTACAAGCCATCCCATTTCTCACATGTGTGTGTATATACAGAAAAGTAATAAAGATTATTCCAAGAATACATGGCTAAGATCAAATACCTACTTTTCGGCGTATGTTTTGTGGGTTCTATTGCTCTTAATATCTTCTTCGTAACCAATAATCTGTTTGCTGGTTATGAAAATAAGCAGCTTAGTTGGAGCCAAAAGGCTGCTGCAGAAGCTGAAGCAGTGGCCGCAGTGTCATGCTCTGGCCATGGAAGAGCCTATTTGGATGGCTTACTTGTTGATGGGAAACCAGTTTGCGAGTGCAACACTTGCTATGAAGGCCCGCACTGCTCTCAGTTCTTGCCTGACTGTGCTGCTAATGCTGACAGGTAACCCCTCTCTCTCTCTCTCTCTGTATAATTCTTTACAAATAACGATGAAAAATTGTAGATGAAGCTGTTGATGTGTGAATGAGAAATTAACGCCAAATTTAAGTTGCCTAAATACGTGAGATTGTTTGGACAAATGATGTAGAATATTATGAAAGGATTAAACCATTTGTACATTGTTTTTGTACATGGAGCTTGACATGCCTTTGTTAATTCAAAAGTGTTTGGGCGGGAAAGTGTGTTTTATTTTCAAACTGGTCAATCATGCTGCGACACGTGGAAAAGTGTAAAACTTGATGTCAAACTCCATGTACTTGTAGCATGATTGATTATGAAATATTCGGAGTCTTTTTTAATGAAGAATTCCGTCTTAGTCATCCATTTTATCAAACATTGTTTGCTACAATAAATAATTTTCACCACATATTCACTCAATAAAATATTCTACATACAAACCAATAAAATTACTTTACTTTTGAACCACACATTCTCCAAAAAATATTAATCAAAACTCTATTTCTTCTCCCCAAAATGGGAGACAGACAACCACTTGAAGTCCGTTTGATTGCAAATGTGGAAAATTGGTGAAAAGAAAATGTTTTACAGAAAATTGATTTGCCTAAAAATTGTTTTACTAGGAATTGTAATTAATTGTGTTTGATTAGTATAATTTTTCATAAAAAATGTTAAAAGTTTGGTATCCGTTTGGCTTCGTTTTTTTATAGAAATTGTCCATTAAAATGATAATGTTTTTTACAATTTGGTCTAGAATTTGTTCCAATTACCAAAAAATAAAAAAATAAAAAAATTTAAAAAAAAATAATCATATCGAATACCATTTGTTTGGCTTTGTTGTTTTGCATTGAAATTGTCAATAAAAGTGAATTTTTATTTTTTACTATTGTGTCTAGAATTTTTTCTAATTGTCCAAAAAAAAAAAACCTGAAAAATATTTACCTGCCAAAACATCAAGAATTTATTTTTCTTGAAAATGTAGAAAATTTCGAAAGTTGGAAAATATTTTCCCTGAAAAATTTTGCTTATGAAGCACTACAAAAATTGAAAAATGAAATTTTTTTTTCCATTTTTCATGAAAAATATGTGCTATCAAATTGGCCTTATATTTTTCAAAAGTCATATCTTGTTTTTGGTAAAGACGTGTCGTTTTGGACATTTATTTCAACAAGATATGTCTCTTTAGACGTGCATTTTTTTTTTTTTTTTTAAAGTTGTGTCTTTTGAGACACGTCTTTTGGATCACTATATATAGATCCAATATTTTTGAAATTTTATCATCACTTCACCCTAGGCCCTAGCATTATCACATTAATGCATATTCAATTTAAAATAATTCTTGCATTTATCTTGAGTTGAGTTTCATATAAGAGAGTTCAAAATATCAGTAAGTTTGTTGATCTACCAATTCAAAGTGCTCCTATTTCGGGACATGATCGTTGTATCTTGAGAGACGATATCGAAAAATCGTTAGCACCCGTGCGGGGCTTATCGTCTTAAGGAGAAACATTCAAACTCTTGACTCGATTAAATTCATATTCATATATTTCTCATTTCTACTTTATATATTGGTTTCAATAAGCCGAAGTCATGTTTAATTTACACACGTAAAAAGTTATTTATAAGAATATAATTTATGCATGTTAATTTTTTCCAACAATCTTAAGACGATAATGCACGTACTAATTTATATTCTCTAATTAAAGGTGTGTTTAAAACAATGTTTAAATAATTTGCATGTTGTAAATATATATATTTTTTGATCGGTTCATGTTGTAAATATAGTGATAATACGTATGATTGGTTTGCTTATATATATGCATATCATATTCGGAATTCTCTCCAAAATTGGATATTAGGCCCCTGTTTGACAGTTATTATTATTATTTTTTTTGGAAGAATGAGTTTTTAAATAGTAAATTTTTGAAAAACGTATTGTTAGAAAGTAAGAAAATTTTTTGAATTTATATGAATAATATTTTATTGTGAGAATGTATGGTTAAAAATAAGTATGAGAAACCTTTTTTTTTTGAAAGAATGGTTACCAAACATGGACTAAGTGAAAACTTGGATTGCATGTGTGATTATGCTTATGATATATGCATATCATATTCAAAATCTTGCATATACTTTATCCGAAATTGGCATTTATGTGAAAAATGAAAAATCAGATTGCATGTGTAAATTAAATGAGTAAAAATACACATTCGAATTGAAGCTTGTAGGGAATTCAAATTTGCGTACAATTTTAAATTGTTGTAATCTAGTTTCTAAAATTTGGTGAAATAAGAATGGGCCCTTCAAATTCGAAGTCCAGTGGATTGTACATATCAGCAATCTCTTTAACCCTCTATAAGAACTAGAACCTTGCTAGGTTGCCAGGGAGGGTTTGACACCCTCCCGCGTCGGTCACATTACATGTGAGAGGATGTCAAAAAGCATGTCAATTTTTTTCTGACAAACTAGTATAGTTGTAAGAACTAAGAACACATGTGCATACACAGCGAGTACATGCCTACCAAACGGTGTGATCTTTTTTGGAAGCGTGTGTCTATTTGGTTTGGTGTGGATTCATTAAAACAACTTTTATTAATTGTTTGAATCCTCAATTGTCATGCTATTGTTTCAAACAAAAGGCATGTCATTGTTGTTCAAATAATTTGTTATTTGTAAGCCTCTATTTGCGATTCCAACCGTCACCGGCCGGCAGGAACCCTCTGTCTTCTTTGCATCTCAATCTCAAAAGAAATGTCATCAGTGATGTTCCCACAATAGGTGGCGGTGATGGTAACTAACGAGGTAGATTTACTTTGCAGTGTACATGACAGAAGAAAGATTACATTTAAGTCACCATCTGGTTTGAGATTACATCTACATCCAGTAGAGTGAAACTCATTCGTGAATGTTAACATTCCCAACTATAAAGGTCTGTTAATTTCATTAGCAAGAAACAGATATCATATAATGATATGGTTTCTTCAATGGAGGAAGCGAGGCAAATGCAGTGCAGATACTAAAAACATTCAATTGTTGTCTTGGCTCAAAATTAAACCCTACAACCCTTAATATTGTGTTGATACCTCTCAAGGTCAGGCACTTTGAGGTACGTACTACATTGCAAACGGTAGTGTGATGTGTCACGTGTTGTGGTGTGATCTAAATTCCATGTGATTTGGTATTTGGTTATTGGAGGAAGTTTAAAGTATCTGAGTTTGTAGAGTTCTAATATGGTTGAAGATCAAATTTCAATAATAATTAAGAGTTTGGCTTGAAGGAAGACTTTTGGATGGCTAAAGACATATGTTAGATTCCTTCTTCATCTTGAACTAAAATAAGAGGTTTTATATATAGCCATATTGTTCTCCATAATACAATATTCATATATTATTCTTTACATCTTCAACAATATATTGAGAGATTGAGAGTTTAGATTTCATTAGAGATTAGTACAATCTTGATATTGTAAACACAAAACTATAGATTTTAGTGGATTATTCTCCTCTACCCGTGGTTTTTTCCAGAATTGGAATTCCACATAAATTCTTGTGTTCTTGTTTTCGTCTTCTTTATTTCATTATTACCATTATTTTGCTACCCGTTTCATAACATCACCAATAAAACTAGATTTAGTGTATTGTCGGATTCACAGAAAGTAAAATATGAAAAAAGTGTCACAAAAGCGTAGATTTTATTTCCAAATGTGAAAGGCGCCTATGTACGGAAGGTTTAAACTCATAAGGTACCTGTCCCGATACAATAGCTTTCTGCTTTTCATTATTATTATTATTGAAAACACATCAGAGCCTTGGTGTGTTTTTTGGCTTTGCCAGAGTAGGTTAAAGGGGTTAAGTTTCCCCAACCATGATATATAAAATAGAAATGTATACTAATGAATCTAAATTCGAGGTCACAAAATGTAATTTTAAAATAAATGAGGAGGCCTGTATAAAATAAAATATGTGAGTAATTTAGTTGCATGTGCACATCAATAATTTTATATGACTTTTTAATGAACATAATTGAGGAATAGAGACATGATAAAATGTGTCAATTATCCATTCCAACTGTCGAATTCTTTGCATTAAAGATGTCATAGAATTACTATTACACGTGCATAGGCCAACTAATCGACTGAACTCAAATTTATATTGTTTATCCAATTCTTATGATGTCTAGGTAATTATCGGTTAACTCAAATATTATAGTCCAGTGGTTCGTGAGACAGAACCAATTCTGCGGAACTGTCAGATGATAATCAATTCTGAATATTAATTAGTTAGCCGGTCATTAACAATTAAATATATCTAATGCAGTGGGGATCCATTATTTTTGGAGCCCTTTTGGATGCAACATGCAGAGAGCAGTGCACTTCTGGTTGCAGGGTGGCACAGAATGAGCTATGTATTTGCAGATCAAACTTCAATGTCACTAGAGCTTCAAAAGCACATTCTCAAAGTCCATTCCATTGCCAGAAATGCAATTACAAAAGGGAAATACCTTGTTTTTGGTGTTGGCTCCACTCAACTCCTCTCAGCGGCTGTTTTTGCTCTTTCCCTCAACTCGTCGTCACCTGCAAGAGTTGTTGCAGCATCACCTTATTACCCGGTTTGTATACTTTCAATCTTCACTTTCAATTGGAAAAATTGTTGCATTTATTTAAAAGCTTGGAATCCATGGTTCACAGGTATATAAAACACAGACGGACTTCTTCGAAACTGTTCACTTTGAGTTTCAAGGAGATGCATTGTTGATGAAAAATACTTCAGATTATGTCAGAAATGTGATTGAATTTGTAACTTCACCAAATAATCCTGATGGCAATCTAAGAAAGGCGGTTCTACAAGGGTTATCTGTGAATGCCATTTATGATCACGCCTATTACTGGCCACATTTTTCCGCTATTCCAGCACCAGCAGATGAAGATATCATGATTTTCACAATTTCCAAGCTCACTGGCCATGCTGGAAGTAGATTTGGGTAATTAAATAATTGCCTTTCCAACTTTTCACTACGATTATATTCTTACTAGGAAGTCGAGGTAATTCACCACGAACTACATCTGGAAAATCTTGAACAATGGCGATTTTGCACTAATACTGTATAAATGCTGACCATATATCAAATACCGCTATGATTAAGTACTTTCTGAGCTTTTACTACTGATGTTCAAGCTATATATGGATTGAGATATGCTAGAAAAACACGGAATATTGACAGGGAAATTTTGACTGACACACTTGGCGAGAATTCGTTGGAAGATGGAAATTTTTAAAACAAAACAGGCCAATCACAACCTGCCACGTTGTGTTGGTTTCCAATCCCTGTCACTAAAACCTGTTTGAGTGGCTTTACTCATATGGATTTTCCTGGGACAAGTTAAACGTAACAGTTGTATTTACGGTCTAAGAATACCCGGTATCAAGATGTAGTAGTGATCAAAATGTTTCTCAGTATAGCATAGGAATTGATTTCATTTCCATTTTAAATTCACTTTCTGCTAAAGGTATTACTAGTAATTCTGCATAAAGAAATGACATAAGATTCCGCTATTTCTTAATGCAGTTGGGCTTTAGTGAAGGACAAGGATGTTTACCTTAATATGCAGAACTATATCTCACTGGCAGATATAAGCATCTCTAGGGATACTCAATTGAGAGCTCTGCAACTTCTCAAAGCAGTTCTTAAAGGTGATGGCCGGGAAATCTTTCATTTTGCCTACGAAAAAATGAGGGACCGCTGGGAAAAGATTAGCCAGACTATATCATTGTCGAAGCGTTTTACTATCCAAGATATTCCACCTCAGTACTGCAACTTCTTCGAGAAAGTCAGGGGACCATCGCCAGGTGATATTCACTTGACACTTCCATTCCTACCCATGAAAGTTAAATTTTCAATTCATCAACTTTGTAATTGCAAACATAAATCTTGTTCTATTATCACTGACCCCACGTACACCTAAGAACTTCAACAATTGAAGTAGGCTTGACTTCAAGAGCATATCATTCCTTGCTAAAAGTCACCAAATAGTTTTTATATTAGTGTCACCCACCCATCCATTTTTCTGTTGAAAGAAACTAACAAGTATGACCAGTAATATATCATGTCCATGACTATTCACTTTAATAAGTTCTGGTAAATGTTAGATCAGATCTAGATTTTAACTGTGATGAAGTAAATAGTGAGCAAACACACTTGATTTTGTCTGCTAAACTTTCAAGGCTAACAGTTCTACACTAATGGCAGCATATATCTGGTTGAAATGTGAGAGGGAAGAAGACACCAATTGCAAAGCTGTCCTACTTTCAGCAAACATCATAGGCCGTTCAGGTAGCTTGTTCAATGCTGAAGATCGTTATGTACGTCTCAGCCTTCTTAAGAGCGACGATGACTACAACTCGCTGCTATATCGTTTGAAAGAACTCATTTCCAAGGAAGGCAGAGCAGATACCTTGTGAATCTGATAAATCAATATCTGGTTGATTGTTCAACATATGATCATTTATGCAATTAATGAAATAATGTAATTAACATCTCTTGATAGAAAGGTCAACGTATATTGACCTTATATACGCTAAAACACGTCGATGAGGATGCCAATACAAGATTTTCTTGCGTGTAAAATTATAGAACTGCTATATTGCTGAAAGTTGTAAAGTGTCCATGAAACAATCTTTATCTTGAAAATTTAGATCTTCCATTGCATAGTGCAGATAAATTGAATGCGAATAGCTTCTATAGAAAATGCTATCTGTGTATGGAAGTAGCAACAATGATACAGAAGATGTGATTAGCTAAAAGGGACGTGATTAATCATTTTTGTATTAGGGACATCTGAAGGAAGAAGAAGTCCAACAACACCGGAAAGCACGTGTCGACGTTTCTCGGTAGGTATCGACACCTGAGCACCAAACAGCTATTTTGGAAAAAAAATGGTTCACGAGCGTAGACAACTGCTTCTTGCGACAGCCATGAAAATTTTGAGATTCAGTTTTCCTCTTTTTTTCTTTTATGGGTTCAATTCTTTCAAACTTTCAAAATTTCAAGGTAAGATAAATGGGAGTTTCTATACAATTAAAGAGTCTTCGAAAATTAAGTTATTACCTCCGAACATGCGAATTCTAAAACCTATCTTCTCATTTCTTCTTCTTCTTCTTCTTGCAGCAGCTCGTACATTTGTGTGTGTATTTTATGACTGATATCCAGGTGATGTGGGAGAGCTCATTAAATGTTTAAATAGCTAAAATCTTTGCCAGAATTGAGAGAAGAATTTCACAAATTCAAAACACCCAACTCAGAATCTTGGTGACAAATGTGAAGAGGAGAAGGTGGCGGGGTGATGTATGGTGACACGTGTCATCCATATAGTAATGCTCGACACATTTCAGGCAGATTTCTCAGTTTCACCCTTGCGGCCAATTTGAGGAGGTCGACTGGGTTGTCATGGTCTGATACGTGTTAGAATTTGGATGTGACCCAAATTTTTTTTTGAAATAATTAAAGAATTCTAATTGAAATGTATGTAAAGAAGAATTTAGTTTAGAATGCTATTAAAGTTCAATGTCAAATTGAAGTTCTATTTTGGAAGCACATTGGGAGTTGGAAATTGATATTGGACTTGAAGAAGAATTGAGGACGAAGAAAACAACTTGGAAGGAAAAAAATGGATAGAATGCCCAGCGCCCTGTTCGGTTTTTTGCCCCGGCGCCGCCTACACCTGTTCTGGGTTTTTCGCGTTTTTTTCTCTTTTTTCGTTTTGAACTCGATTTTTTGGCATCCTATTTCATCAACAACTTTATTAGGAAGGTTTGGACATCCCCCTACACGTTCCTTATAAATATTAGGCTCTTCTATACAATCTTGTGATGTGAGAATATAGTGTGAGAAAAGTGATTACTAGCTTTTAGGATCATTGTAATACTTCTTTATCTTCATTATTTGTGATGCAATAAAATTTCATAATTTCTCTATCATATTTTTTTATCTTCTTTTATTCTTTTGCTTGTGATCATATATTTCATATTTTGCCATATAACTTCAACATCTCAATCAAATGGTTGATTTCAGATCAAATGATATCGAACAATACGTGATCCTTGAATACCGAACAATTGATATCAGATATTTTTGGCATAATTAACACAACAAGAGGTGTCGAGGGATTCTTATATCTTGTTTGTTTTACAACAATACTATTGCCAAGTTTTCAAGGAGTGCTTGGTCAATATTGTCGAATAATAAAACTGTCAAACATAGCAAGAATTATGAATGATGCTACTTGTACAAAAAAATTGATAGTCTTTTACAGAATTCGTAAAGAAGACTATTTTACCTCGAATTTTGTACCTCCAACATGGTCAACAGATCACAAAGCCTTCCGCGTCCACATAAGCATGATTCTTACACACTTGGACAAATAATTAACTACATGTGGCTCCCTCCGGTGGTGGCAAGTTGGCCGCGCGTACTCCAACGATCAATTCAGTTGAAGTAATATGTATGGGCATGGGAAGAACTTTTGATGTGAGCCCCTAATATAAAAATGGGGTTGACTTTGAGGAAAGATGTAATAATAATAGAAGGGATAGCAAAGTGGTAGTTTTAGATTTTAAACTCACACTACTTTTGGAATGGCATGTTATGTGAACTTTTATAGTAGAATATTATGAATATTGGCCATGGGATGAGAATTTTTGTGGCCTTATCCACGTTGTTGAGGCATTTTGTCAATGACATCTATCAATTATAAGCATTCAATACTAATACCATTTTATTGCCTATAATTCTGACAAAAGGCTTAGACTTGACCTGATTGTCAAGGTAGGGCGGCATAAGAGTGAATTATCACATCAATCACTTATTATAAATATGCATAAAAGATCTCATATCGGCCCCTTGCAGCCTCTCATGTCTTGAGGGTTCGGTTCTATGTATCATATCGATTCGGTCTCTTCATGGGGTTTGACAAACTGCCTCAGACAGAATGATTTGGAGTACGAGCCTAGGTTCGAGTGCCACGTAGGACATTCTGGGGCCTCGTCAGTCGAGGCGTAACACAAATAGCATGGTTCAAGAATTAAACCCATCCACGGTCGGTCACATAAAATTAGGGGAGGACATAGTTTCATTCAGTTTTGGTTCCAAGAGAATCGAATCGAACCATGAATCAATATTTTTTTTATAATGGAACTCTAAATTGAACCATTGGTTCCGGTTTGATTTGGTTTCATTTCATTTCTTAAATCTTCAAATTTTCATATACCTAAAAAAAATTCAAATATTCAACAAGTTCAAATTGTCAATCACAAAAAGTCCAAACTATCAAACAAAATATAGTCATAACTTGAATACTGAATCAATTTTCATTCACATACAAAAGATTGTCTAATAAGTAATAACAATAATTTAAGAAATTAATTGCAGCAGTTTTTACGTCACACTCCACAATAAATGAAGAATTGTGCAAAACTTTTACAATCCACACTTTTACAAGCAACCATTAATCTTTTAATACTCCATGAATGTTTATTGAATTTTCCTTTATTTGTGAAGAATACAAATAATGCATCCAACAGTAAGGTGAAAAAATAATTTAAAGGCTATTTAAGTGTCTTACCAATTTCATTTTTCGATCTTGAAAGAGTTTCATCAACTGACGTGTTAAAGTGCGGTGTCAGCGTGCCGTGGCATTGTGTAAATTGAAAATGAGAAAAAGGGAAATGATTCAAATAAATACAAAATTAGGGTGTACACAATTAGTGTATTATCTTCAATTATTCAGAACCGATTAATGGATTCTTTGATGTGTATATATATATATATTCGGAAAAATCAAAATTATTCTTGTTTGATTTGTTTGGTCTGTATATTTTGTCCAACCCTACTTAAAATTGTCGGTTTCGGACTTCTTTTCACCATACCTACTTTCGTCCCCTTTTTTGACACGTGTGCTAATCGAAAGTACGTTCCAAGATGCAATCTCGCAAGCCTCAGAGAATTTTCATGTCCATCTCATTGAAATGCAGGATGGCCACAAGAGTAAAATAAACGCATAAGAGAAATGTTATTTAACTCCACTGTGGTTATAATCATAGTTTATATAGCGCTAATATGACATTAAATAATAAGTGAAAATTTAATTCCAACTTTTATTTAGTCTATCACTTAACATCACATAAACTGATGTTATAATTCAGTGGGACTAAATAACAATATTCATAGAAAAATGGTCACTTAAGTCATTTTTTGTACATATCAAGTTTACGAAGGAATATAGTAGTTCTTTAAGTATTTATTATACTTGATATGTAAATATATATATTCGTTTACATATCAAGTATAATTTCCTTCCAATTAAGTATAGAACATGGTAGTTCTAAGTTGAGCATTTTATGGACCTGGTGAGCCTTTCCTGATCTAAGCTTCAATGTTCGACTCTAGGTATTTCGATGTACTAATGGAGCCGAGCATTGTTCTTCCAATCTCAATCATCTCACCGCATTGAGTTTAGGATATAGTGCCTCAGTATTGTTAAGAACATGCTACGCATACTGATTCTTATGTAACTATTTGAACCTTCGAAATTAATTTAACATTTAAAAGGTACCACCTTAAATGGTTAAATCACTCGGACGCATGACAAAACAAAACAAAACCTAAACAATTCAAGTCAATCCTTTTCTTATGAGCTTCCTCTACAGCACTTTTATTCCTCACGTCTTCCTTAAACAAACCTTTACACGTAACTAAAAATTTTCCTCTCCCCCTTCGACACTTTAATATTATTCTTTAATTCACGTGACACAGATGCTTCGACGCCATTGGCACACTTGCAATTTCAACCGTCCAAAGCTTGTCCACTAAAATAAAGGGCCCAGAGCATTCGATACTAAAATAGCGTGGTCATAAGTAGGCCACGATGTTTATAAAATCACCTCCTTTTCTGCTTATATTTATTGTAAAATAAGCTATCGGGTAATTTTGGACCGACCTAATCTCTAATAATTGATTTATTTATTCATAGAGACTGTAATTTTCACAACATTATGTCACTTTCCTAGACTCTTTCATTTGGATTTGTTCGTGAATATGGATATCCAATGTGGATCCTTTAAATGATCGAGTAATAAGTCAAAATAGGTATTTTTTTTTTTTTTCGAATTCAACCGTTTTGAGTATAATATCGATTCAAATCTTGTTTATTATAAAGTCGTTGCGAATATACACCGACATATTCTGCGATTTGAATCAAAAATTAGTGAATGATAAAATTATAGAAAGAAGTTTATTTGCAGGTCACGTTTGAAGTTGAAATCTTATATCCCAAAGTAGAGGTGTCAATGGCGCCGAGCCGGCTCGGTTCGGCCCATTGACCCATGAGCTCGGCTCGTGCTCGTCACGAGCTGAACTCGTGGCTAGTTACAAATACACGAGCTCGTGGTTCGTGTGCGGCTCGTGG